GCGTCTCCTGCAGCAGACTTGCCGACTTCCTTGGTAACAGAGCGTCCCCTTCTCCGCAGGGCGCCACGTAATAAAAGCATTTCCCTGCCCCCCTTGCAGCTGGACGTGACCACGTGACACACCTCTGGCCAGCGAGGGGATGAAGTCGCTGGCGGGACGTCCAGGAGGGCTCGCTACGGGACAGTCAACGATGTGCCCCTTCCTTCTGCCCTCCCTCCTCCCTCCCGCCCGGAATACAGGCGGCGCCAGGGATGCACGGACCAGGATGAAAGCTGCGTGCCGCAGGGGGCCAGGTGGACACCCAGAAGGAGCCCGTGTCCTCCAGCGCTGGGGACTGCTACCCCTGGCCCGACGGCCCCCCTGTCCTGTTCTGGTCTGCGCCGCTCGCCGGGCCGCCGAGCCCCACCCTGACAGCCGGGCAGCCAGTCCTGCCAGGAGCCGCCCGCTGTCCCGCCGGCTCCAGCCTTCGCCCAGCCACGCGCCCCCACCAGGTCACCCGTTCCCACTGCTCCGGTCTGCTGTTGACACAGCGCACGGTGCTCCTTGCACCTCTCTCGGTGAAAGACCCGTGGAAAAGACCGAGAAAAAGGTAAAAGAAGTGACTAAGCAAGGTTTGTACTTATTTAATAAGAAAATCGCTTCTTTAAAAAAATAGTGTCTTTACGTGCTGAGTTGTGTGTAGTCAACGCGTGAGCTGAAAATAGACTCGTGGCAGGTTCTCCCTGTGACGGAAACTCAGAATGACGCAGCTCTCAGGATCCTGAGCTGGGGAGGCCGCGCGCGGGCCGTCCCGTCTGGGCGAGGCATGCCGCCAGCAGCAGGCTAGCGGGTCCCGGCGTGCGGTGTCGTGGGCCAGCTCAGTCACTGTCCCCATCACTGCCTTCCAGGGGGCGGGGGACCTGCAGAGCGAGAGCAGACAGGGAATGACCGTGGGGAGCGCTCCGCCCGGCGGGGGCCCTCTCCTGCACAGGGGCTGCCCAGGGCGAGGCTCAGCCTCACCCGTCTTCCTCTTCACTGATTCAAGAACCTGTCTTGAACGGGCAAAGCCAAGGGCTGGGGACCAGAGGGGGTCTTCATTGGGCTCCTCCAGCTCCCAGAGGCTTCAGTGACCTTGGGGACATAAAACTGATCTACTGCAAAGCTGGTCAGTACAAGCCCCTCGGCGCTATATAGAAGACGGTAGACGGTCAGAGGCCTCTCTCTGTCTGTGGGAATCAAGCAGAGAGCAAGCCTGGCCCCCAGGTCCCATCTGTACACGTGCTCCATCTGGCCTCACAGTGCTGGGAAAATTGATAACCACCAACATTTAAAGAGTGGACTATTTCACATACACATCTGCAATCCCAGTTTCTCCTGAGAAAAGGCAAGCTCCGACAACACTCAGGGCCACCCTCCCCTGGCTGGCGCTGAGCTGCAGGGGCCCTTCCGGTGGAATGAGAGCTCTGCCGTTTCCCACAGTCTCCACCAAGTCCCGTCTCCTCCCCGACGCTGCTTGGAATTCACCATCTGACCTGCAACCCCTGCCTTTCTTACACCTGGCCCCCTTACCTGTATGCACATGGGTTTACAAGCCCAGCTGGGGAGGGAAGACAGTGTTTTTCTAGATATCTAGACAATGGGAAGAAATCTCCCAGAGCTCCAGGTGGGAATCTCACCCTTTGACAGCCTGCTGGGACACCATGAGCGAATATGGGCTTTGGGGACCTCCCTCGCCCCAGGGTAGAGAATCGAGAACTAGAGTAAAATGTTCACTTTTAGCTCCAGCACCTCCAATCGTGGATGCTCTCCTTCTAACATAAGGTTGGCAGTTAACTCACAGATGAATCACACTTTGAGCCAGGTCCCTGGGCGGTATCGGACAGCAGGGCTCCAGGACAGTGGGGCCGAAAGCACAGCCTGCGTCCCCTCCCAGGCGGAGGAGAGCACCCGGGCCCGGACAGGAACGCCGCCCAGAGGGCGAGGAGAACGACGCTTGGCCGCTCAGCGTCCCTGGCGCCTGCCAAGCGAGCCCATGTTCTGGAGCCAGGTACATGCCAACTGACCAGCAGCATGAGCCAGAGGAGGACGTCCCAGCGGCACCTCCGTCCCACACACGGGACGACGGCCACCGAGCATGTCCCTCCCCAGCGTCACTAAGCGCGGAGCAGGGCGGCTGGCCACCAGGTCCTATGCCCTGGCCCTGCTCCTCCCACTGTTGTGGCCCCGGGGCAGCGACAGGCCTCTCGGTGCCTCAGCTTGCTCATCAATGGGTACAATGACAGGGGGCAGAGTGGGTTGAAGCTTAGCCACGGACAGTGACAGATGTGGACAAGTGCTTGGCTGAGCTCCTGGAAGGGCCAGCGCCAGCCCCACGGTTCCCCTGACCCCCAGCCCCCGTGGCCCCAGCCCCACCTTGGCGCCCGGGCCGGCGGCTGCGTGGGCAGTGGCGCTGAAGTCATGCATGGGCAGGGTGCTCAGCCACTGGGCCATGGACCTCTCGTGGCGCTCGGTGCCGATGATCGTGGGGTAGATGTGCTGTTCCTTGAAGGCCGTGACCTCAGCCTCCTCCCGCGCCCAGTCCAGCGGCTCGTGCAGCCCGTCGTGGCCGAAGCGCTGGTTGTACTTCTCGAAGTGCACCCGCTCCAGGACCAGGCCGAGCCCCGGTGCCTTGGGCACGTCCACCTTGGCCTCCCCCCAGCAGCGCTCCAGCACACTCTCGGGCGCGTAGCCCTTGACGATGGCCACCACCAGCCCCACCATCTTCCTGATCTGGTGCGTCATGAAGCTCTGGCCCTTGACCTTGATCACCGCGAACTCCATGCCTTCGCGCACGAAGGGCTCCTCGCAGAACATGTCGAGGATGTAGCGCCGGGCGCTGGGCTCGCGGGGCCCCTTCTGCGAGGTGAAGTTGTGGAAGTTGTGGGTGCCCCTGTAGCAGGCCAGGAGCCGGTTCACATGCCCCAGCGTCTCTGCGTGCAGCCGGTACGTCTCGTCCTGCGCGTCGTGGTCCTTGTGGGCAAAGGCGAACGTGGGCAGCATGTAGAAGTAGGTCCTGGCGTCACACTTGTTCTTGGAGTTGAAGCCGCCCGTGACCCTCTTCAGTCCTGGGGGCAGAGGAGGCGATGAGGACAGACTGACGACACCCTGAGCAGGTCTGAGCGCCGGCACCTTACCTGCCGAACCCGGACGAGCCCGAGGGGGCCCCGGCTCCGTGCGCTAAACCCTCAGCTAAACCCTATCAAACAAACCCCGGGGTCGGCCAAGGTGCGGGACACCCTGCTCTCGCCTCAGGATCCCGGGGGACCCATGCGGACTAAAGCACCAGCCGGTGACCCCGACCCAGAAGCCTTGGATCACACGCCATCCTGCAGGTGAGGCCAGGGACAGCAATGTGTTCAGACAGCAAAAGAAACTGGAAACAACTTAAAAAGTCCAGCAACGGGGAAACGATCAGCGGCTCTTAGACGTTTGCAGAACGAGCCGAAAGCAGCCCCGCAGCCCCGGCGCCCGTGCCCAGGACCGGGGGCTGCAGCGCCGAACACTCGCTGTGCCCGGCCAGGGCTCCCAACAGGCTTCCTAACCGCTCAGGGAGAAAAGAGCAAAGCGAAGCACTACGTGTGCATTTCTTTGTGAGAAAAATACAGACACACGGATTATGTCTGTATTTGTAGAGAAAACTTCTGAAAGAATCACAACCGTTGGGGGGGGGGGGCGGCTTCTGGGAACTGGGGAGCACGAAGCGCTTTGTGGCCCTGGGTGCTCCGTGCTGCGCGGCTGTCCTCACGCTAAGCCCAGACCGGGTCGTGAGGACTCAGCCTCACAAGGAGGCTGTGACTTAAAGGCCAGCTTTGGCTTCATGTTACAAGGACTGATGACCCCGCCCCGGGGCTGCCAGTTCAAGGCTGCCTCTGCGCCGCCCTTCCCGTCTTCTGTCTCCGCTGTCGTGTCTGATTTGGGGTAATCTTATTGTTGTGTTTTGTCTTGCTTTAAGAATCCAATTTCAGCGACACAGCATCGCAGGTATGCTCTGTGCACCTAATTTCTGTCGTGCGGAATATAACTGCCAAGAAAAGGCTGAAAGGGGCTGGCAGCCGACCACGTGGCTGGGCTGCTAACGAGGGAAGCACAGCCTTGCTGGGTCCTGTTACGTAAGCAGTGCTAACGGCTGCGAATTGTGTAGGGTCTGGCATTATTTTAGCGAAAGTGGGGAACAACCTGTGGCATACATGAGAACGTTCCCGTGGAGTGAATATTAAGAGGCATCACATGGGGCTTTAAGAGGACTGGCTCCCAGAGAAGGTCTTCAGGAGGGAATTATCCTCACCAGGCAGAGAAGGACCACAGGACAATAAAAATAAAACCATGTCATGCCAATAATAAATGCAGAGCCTTCCCCGGCGGTGCAGCGGTTAGGACTCCGTGCTGCCACTGCAGGAGGCGCGGGTCCCACCCCTGGTCGGGGAATGAGATCCCGCGTGCCGTGCGGTGCAGCAAATAAATAAATAAATAAAAATGTAAAAACTCAATTCAATAGTGGGCAAGGAGCCAAAACAAGGGCTGTGGCTGTGTGCTGAGATCCCTATGTACACTTGTGCCCAACGTTCATGGCAGTGTCTTTCTGTAACAGCCCCAAACTGGAGACACCCGCAGTGCTCCCCACCAGGTGACTGGATAAACAACTGGAAACCACGCAGCAATGGAAAGGAACAAACCGGATGCACCCGACAACGTGCAGGAATCTTTAACCAGAGGCTCCGTGCAAGAAGCCATTCCCTACGATGCTATTGACATAAAACTCTAGAACTACGAAGCAGTCTATAATGAAGGAGAGCAGATCAGTGGTCGCCTGGTGAGGCATGGGGTGGGAGGGGCGTGGGGAGGGTCACAATCTTCTGGGGGTGACCGAGAGGGTGACTCTCTCAAGTGGGCTGGTTTCACAGGTATGCACACATATCACAACGTTTTAACTGTATAGTGAACTACGCAGTTTACCGTACGCTGATTATACTTCAACTTTAAAAAGCATTTAAAAGTGTTTTTAATTCTCTGGTTAAAGAAAAACTGACAGTGTAGTGTGCGGGTGATGACACAGGCAGACCTGAAATACACGTCACGACAGCAGGACAGGTGCAAGTGCGTGGCTGCAGGTGTGAGGTGCGTGCAAGGTGGCCTGGCTTCACGAGAAGGCAGCTGTGGTAACTGGCCCATGGATGCTTTGACCCCGGGGCTGGCAAACAGTGGCTAAAACCATGGCCGTTCCCGTAAAACTTCTGAGCTAAGGCTGAAAGGGTGGTTAAAGGAAGAAACAAAGGAGAAGAATATGCAACAGAGACAGTGATCTGTGTGGCCACAAAGCCTCAGACAGTTTACTACGTGGCCCTCTACAGAAAGCCTCTGCCAGCCCTTGCTTTAAGGGCTGGCAAAGCGACCACTAAAAAAACCATAGCGAGTCATCGCATTAGCTAACCAAGGTGATAATGAAATGCAATGAAAAGAAACATCAATTAATCCAAAAGGAGGGAGAAAAAGAAGAGGGAAACAAATGGGACAGAGAGAAACAGAAGGCAAGCAGAGCTACCCCCAGCCACCCCAGTACCACATTAATTATCAATGGCACATATATGCCACTTAAAAGGCAGAGAGGGTCAGACTGCAAATCCCATTATCAGGCCTGTTACCATAGGGAGTCATAGCCCCTGTTTTAATTTTATCAAATCTGGACTTTCATATCCAAGCATTTGGTTAAAACAAGGCACATGTACCACCAAGATGCTGCACTGAGGGCCTTTCCAAGTCTGTCTGTCTGGCTGTGTCCCTTTCTGAAGGAGGTGGGAATACTGAACCCTTCCTTACAGCTGACTCACAACCACTCCTTCCAACTGCTAAGCGACCACTCTGTTATCTTAGCTCCGCAACAGAGAAATTCGGTGAAAGAAGAAATTTCGTGTCCCTGTGAGACTGGCCACCACCCAGTGTGCAGCCCAGCGCTGCAAGGCTTACCCAGTATCCGAATGTGAGACGGAAGGTGGCTGTTAATCTTTTCTAAAAGGTCGTCAATCAGCCACACCTTCAGGGACACAACCTGGCCGGCCGCAGACACACCCTGCAAAGGAAGCAGACATGGGAGGGCCAGCTGGGCCTTGCACTTGGAGCACCGACACTGCAAGCTGGTCTCTTCAGCAGAAGGACCACATGCACGCTACATCTGTCCGTGGAGGAATTCTGCTTTCAGAAGTGCATCTGAAGGGAATAACCAGATACAAGAACAGTGCTCTATATGCCAAGGGAGTGAGTGCCACATAACTTATAAAATATTACAAGTGAACTTCAGAGCCCAACGAAACACGGGAACGAATACATGAAATCCTGCAGATAGGAGATAAAGTCCCACCCTGGATGTGACTCTCAAGGACTTAGGAAAAAAGAAAGTGCAACTTAGATGCCAGAACACTGGAGCTGAGCAAGGTCACCATCTAAGTCACAGCAGCAGGTATCCTGTGGGGATGGGGTGCTAGTGACACAGGTAAACTGAGCAAGCGCCGCACTCAAGAAGAGCACAGTTCACCATTTGTATGTTACACCTTTTTCCTAAAAGCAAGTTTTCATAAAAGGCAATACGGCAGTAAGGTCTGGGGGAGGGGAGCGGTGTGATTCGGAAGGTGGACGAGGAGGGGGCTCCTGGGACGCGGGCAGAGACCACGTGTGGACCTGAGTGGAGATTATCCGGGCGCTCACCAAAGAATCACCCGTTTCACTTTATACTGACACTGTATGCACCTTTCTGTTTGCTACAATCATACTTTCTAAAAAGATTTTTTTTAATGTAAGCAAAGAAGACAGAGTACCGTGTAACACTCCTGCCGAAAAATTTCTTTACTCTGTATCGAGTCATGAGAACAATCAGACAAACACAGATTGAGGACATTCGTCAAAATAACTGGCCTGGACCATCCAAAACATCACATCAGGAAGGACAGAAAGGAGGTGACGAGACCATTTTAAAGGAAACTCAAGGGCTTCCCTGGTGGCGCAGTGGTTGAGAGTCCGCCTGCCAATGCAGGGGACACAGGTTCGAGCCCTGGTCCGGGAAGATCCCACATGCCGCGGAGCAACTAAGCCCGTGCACCACAACTACTGAGCCTGCTCTCTAGAGCCTGTGAGCCACAACTACTGAGCCCGCGTGCCACAACTACTGAGCCTGCGTGCCACAACTACTGAAGCCTGTGCACCTAAAGCCCGTGCTCTGCAACTAGAGAAGCCACCGCAATGAGAAGCCCGTGCACCACAACTAAAGAAAGCCTGCGCGCAGCAACGAAGACCCAACACAACCAAAAAAAAAATAAATAAAAGAAATAATAAAAGAAATAGAAAAAACATTTTTTTAATTTAAAAAAAAAAATGAAGGAAACTCAAAAGACATGACAACTGAATGAACCATCAACCCTGGGTTAGACACAGGATCAACAAGAAACGGTGTACCAGTGTTAAATTTCCCAAGGGTGACAGCGACACCAAGCAGTTGCCAGAGGATGCCACTGCTCACGCGACATATTTTGGGGTGAAGGGTGATGACGTCTGCAACTTCCTCTCAAATGGTTCCATTCAAAGGCACAAAAAGGAAAACAAATATGGCAAAAGTTTAACACTGCCGAGCTTAGGGGAAGACCAAGGGTGTTCATGCATTGTTCCTGGGACTTTCGGAGGTCTGAAGTTTTTCCAAATAAAAAGTTGGAGAGATTTTTGTAAAAAAGAAGAAAGACAAAAAATAAACTGGCGAGATGGAACACAGGCCGAATCCACTGTTCACCAGGCAGACACCCTCCAACACAGAGGCATCTGGCCACGAGTGGCTACTGAGGGCATAAAATGGCTGTTCTGAAATGAGGTCTCAAAGTCTCAGTACACGAAAAAGGAATGGAAATACATCTCATTGCTAATCTTTTTATATTGATTACACGTTTTTCTGGTTTTTTAAAAATTTTTGGCTGCATTGGGTCTTTGTTGCTGTGCACGGGCTTTCTCGAGTTGCAGCGAGCGGGGGCTACTCTTTGTTGCGGTGCGCAGGCTTCTCATGGCAGTGGCTTCTCCTGTTGCAGAACGTGGGCTCTCTAGGCGCGCGGGGTTCAGTAGTTGTGGCTCACGGGCCTAGCTGCTCCGCGTCATGCGGGATCCTCCCGGACCAGGGCTCGAACCCGTGGCCCCTACACTGGCAGGTGGATCCCTAACCACTGTGCCACCAGGGAAGCCCTGATTACACGCTGAAGGGAGAATTTTCTGGATATGCCAGTGGAGAGTGGGTGATGACTAAAGGGTGCAGGGAAGTTCTGGGGACGATGAAAATGTTCTAAGCTGGGCTGTGGTAATGGCTGCACAACTGTGAGAAAGGACTAGAATCAATGAATGTACCCTTTAAATGGGCAAAATGTATGGGAGTGAATGACAGCTCCTTGAAACTTTTTTTTTTAATATGAAACAGAAACTAACAAAATATCATCATTTGTTCATCCAGGGGGATGTTAGTATCAAAGGTTTTCTAGATTTCCCAAAATGTAAGAAGGAAAACATATTCGAATAAAACCATCTCTAATAACAGTGAAAACTGAAATAAATGCTAGCCCTATATTTGGAAATGCTGTCTTCATTAGCTCAGGCAAATGTTTACTTTTCTTCTGCCCTGAAAACAACCAGAGAGCTGTAAGTGGGAAAGTTAAACAGAAAACAAACACCACGGAGAGCCCCGGTACTCTTTACCTGGACCAGCTAACATGTGACTGGATCACCCACGAGACTGCCAGGCGCCTGTTTTTGTTCTTAGCTGTCTGTGCGGTAGCTCTGGCTCCGGGGTTCTGGCCTGGGCCTGTGGATCCCAGGGGACGCTGCACCTTTGAAACTCAACGTTATTCAGATTCCCAGGACCCTGACCTGCAAAAAGCTACGTGTACCACAGACTCCCAGTGACCTTAGGTGGCCAGAGAGATGATTCAGGGCCCGGGTCTGAGAGAGCAGGCTCACAGGTGCACAGGCACTTTGGGTTTTCTCTCTCCTGGGGGAGAGCTTCACGTTCTCTGTGGCTGGTTGTCCCACCTGCCTCGGCGACACCCTCCACTCCTTTGTGGGGAGCCCCTGCTCGCACCAGCCCCACACCTGGCAATGTGCCAGGGTGGGACCAGCCAGCGACTGGCCTGGGACGGTGGGAGAGCCAAGCAGACAGCAGGACTCAATCTCTTGAGCATGAATGGACAGTGCTGGGTCACGGCCACCCGAGACTCCTGAGCGTGCGACTCCCGCGGGGTTCCAAAGACTTGGCGCTCACACACGCACAGTGGAAACTATTTCCCGTTCATCGCTTTTTATGTTGATTACACGTTGAAAGGCGACTACCTTGGACACACTAAGTTAAATAAAATTGATAACAAAACCCAGCGTCACCTGCCCCCTTTTCCCTTTTGGCTGTGGCTCCTAGGAAGCTGCACACCACACGCACGTGGGCCTCTGCGGCCACGCGGTCCTACGTGTATCGCGAGCCTGAGGTGGATGGATCTAAGGCAGATGTTGTGGCCACCACGCCACCCACAGGAGCGACAGAGGAGAAAGCACAGACAGAGAGGATGCCAGACCCTGTGGCCCTGAGCACCTAGGTCCAGCCACACCTGGGCCGGAAATGCCCCAGTTTCTTGGCCACACGAGGCAACAACTTTCTTTCCACTTACACTAGTCTGAGCTGTGCATCTGTCAATTGTAACCAAGAGAATCTTGAGAGATAAAGGTGCTAAGATGGAAAGTGGGATGAGGGCAAACACAAGCCACAGACCGGCGGCTTCGGTGCTGCCTGCACCCGCAGGGGATGTGGGGACAGCACCTACCTTGTCCGTCCGGGCGCAGCGCTGGAAGGACATCTTCCGCATGTCCTCCCCGTGATTCTCCGGAATACAACCCGACCGGACCAGGGCAGACACCAGGTCATCTTCGATGGTCTTGAATTTCGAGGACCCAACATTCCTCTGAGGAAAAGAGAAGAAGAAAACTTGTTTTTCACTCAATCACTACCACAGTAGGGGCCCTGGGCCGTGGCTGATCCAGGTAGGGGCATGTGCGTTGTGCCCGCACCCGGCAGGTGGGGACCGTACCTGTGGGCGTGGAGAGACCCTGCAGCTCGTCCCCCGACCCACGGGAAGCAGGAAAGCCACCTGTGGGTACCCACAGTCTAGATACTTCCCACCCTGGGCAGCTGACACTGGACATCACCTAAGACATCATTTCCCCCTACCTGTCAGATGTGAGACCAGCACCCTCCTGCTGGAGACCCATCTGTCTGTTGCACCCGGCCAAGAGGGACTCCCCTCCCTCATCACCCCAGGGCCTCCCCTCCCTCACCACAGCAGGGAGCAGGCCCTCCTGCATCACTACAGGGAGGCAGGCGCCCCTGCTGGAGGAGGACGCCACCCCAGGGTGCTGCCAGCACCTAGTGGGTGCAGATGTAGTGTAATCACAGTCCAGGGCCTGCAGGACCCTGCGACATCAGTGAGATCACCACCCTGACGTCAAAGAAAATCTTTGCAAAGCAAGGGACACAGGGCGACAAGCACGTCGCCAAGACGCACCACAGTGGGCAGGTCCTTCCCAAAGTCTACCTCATGGTCCCCACTGCAGCTTAAGTCCAATCCCTTTACTCAGCAAGAAGCTATAAATGCTCCTCCAGCGATCGGAATGGATATTAAGAAACGGGGATAACCACCCTTCCCCACATCCCGCTGTGTCCTTCTGTCACCCTGTGAGCTACCGTCACTCTCTACCCTCCCTCCATTCCCCTAATGGGGACACTGAGGCAAACGGAAGATGATGAGACACAGGCAAAATTCTCAAGACAGCGCATAAGGCAACAACACACGTAATCAGTCACCCTCAAACAAAAAAGCATTTAAACATCGGCGAAGAGCAGCGCAGGTGGTTTATTTGTTCCACTATGTGAGACCGAAGCACTGCTTCCACCATTTCACAATCCACCCGTGGTCATCAAAGGTCATCAAATTGGTTTCACGGGTGCAACCCTATACTTAATGAAAAATACTAAAATAGGATACAAAGTATCTCATTACTACTATTATTTACAGTAAAGGTGACCACAGCACCTGGTAAGGTTGGGCACTGTTTTCCTAAACTTCCGCTTCAGTGAGATACTCTACACAGCAGTGAATTCCTCCAAGAAGTTTAAAGAACGAGGCACCGAAGTGTAAGAGCCACACCGCTGACCACAAGGGACGAGAAGAAGCTCTACGTGCATCTGCCGGGGCGCCGGGGCTCTTGTGCCTTTCAGGAAAGGGTCACGGGGCTGGGCTGGGCAGGGAGCTCTCACGTGCCTGCGTACCCACAACCGTCACCTTCACGTGTCTAACAAAGAGTAACAGCTGCCTCTTCTGAGCATCCCTGGCGCTGTCCCAGTTCTAGTGTGCGGTATCGGTCAGCCTAATGACTCTTCCTGCCCTGTAAAGTCAGCACTGTGATCAGAGAGATGAGGAAACGACGGACTGAGAGTTCTCGTCACTTGCCGCCTCTGGTCATCGGCAGGCCTGGGCCTTTAACTACCCTGGGAGACCCATGAACACCTCACCCCCCCCCCCCCCCCCCCCCCCCCCCCCCCCCCCGCCCCTCCACCCCCCCTGGGACCCCGATGACCCCCCCCCCCCCCCCCCCGCCCCCCGCAAGCACCCAAGCAATGCATGGATGAAACAGGGCTCAAAGCTGCTTCGATCTGAATCTAAATCTTGCCTGATGGGACCCACACGATAAAGGAGGTGAGAATGAGACCCCTCTTTCTGCCACTTCCCAAGATGGCTCACTGGGTAACCGTCGCTGTGAGGTCCCTGCCCCAAGCACAGCGGCCCAGCCCGCGGGCGCCCTCACCTGCATGCCGTGGTAGCCCTTCCCGGAATAGGCCACGAGCAGCACGACCTTGCGCTTGGGCAGCTTCCTGTGCTGCCCTCCACCCTCGCTGCTCCTGAGCCTTTTCGCCTGCTGCTCTGTCTCCTCCCAGATCCTGGCCGCGCCCTGCCAGCCACGCCGGACCTTCCTGTCCTGCTCCTGCTTGGTCCCCACGGGCACGGGGGCCTCCCCATTCCCTGCCATGGGGGGCAAACTGAAAAGACACGGTGGCGAGGGGGGGTGGGGTGTGAGCAAAACACAGAAGGAAGCGGCCCAGTGAAAGACTGACGGTGGCAGCATGGTCCAGTAAACACCCTGGGCTGACCACCGAGTCCAAATCCCAGCTGGGCGCTAACTGTAGATCTTGCCCAACCACCAACTTGGCCTCGGTTTCACGGTTCAAGAAATGGAGCAGTGACAGCACTTTATGCGATGAGGGCTGGTGCTCGCCGGGCATGCAGTCGGGCTCAGTGGGGGTCAGCGTGCTACCCTGGGGTCACGGACAAGTGCACTGTCATTACCAGAGGAGGCGCGGTCCCAGGCGCGGGGTCCACGGTCCGCAGGCTCTCCTCAGGGCCCAGGCCGCCGCCCGCAGGCTGGGGAGCCCCATGCAGGCCCGGGAGGGGCGGGGGGGCACGCGCCCGACCCCTGACCTCCCCCGGTACGCACCCACCCGGGTCCTCTAGACCCCTAACCTCCCCGGGGCCCCTACACACCAGCCCGCCCCTCCTTAACTCCGACCACGGCCACGCTCCAGCCCCACCCCTTGAGAACTCTAACCTTCCCGGGACCCTCTCACGCTCCAGCCCCGCCCGCGGATAACCTAAGTCGTCCCTGACCCCCAGGCTGACCTCTGACCTCCCCAGTCCCTCCTGCTCCCCCCTCGTCCTCTCGCCTCGCCCAGCCGGCTCTCCCTCGGGAATCGGGGAGACCCCGGCCACCCACGCCGGGACTAGTGGGGCGCGCCCCGACCCGGCCCCACTCACGGAGCGGCGGACTGAGCCGGAGCCGAACCACGTGGGCGAAGGCGGAAGCGGAGCGCGCGGCCGGACGGCAGCCGGACGTGGACAAAAGTACTTCTGGGCGAGGCGGGCCGAGGCGGCTTGGGGCGGAGCTTGGTGTCAGGGGCGGGACTGAGCGGGGCTTCGGGGCGGGGAGGGCGGGGCCTGGCGCCGGGAGCCCGGTTCCCCGCTGCCAACTCGGGGGTGGTTTGAGGCCGATGTGGATGCGCCCTCTTAGGGCGAACAAATCGTCCTAACAACTACGCTTCCAGGCTCTGTTCCGTGTTACAAGTGTCAGCTCATTCAGGCCTTTCGCCCGCCTTAGGGAGCAAGCACCGTAAGAGCAAGCACGTTACTGAAGAGGAACCCGAGGGACAGAGAGGCTGAGCCCATGGCCGGAAGCCACACAGCACCAGTCCCGGCTTCTGGAATGACAGCCTGTCTTTCAACAGTGTGCAGACCAGCGCCTTCCCACAAACCTCTCGTAAGAAAACACTTGCCATGTGCCAGTGCCAGGTGCTGCTCTAGTGGCTCGATGCCTGTTAGCTTATTCAATCCTCATGAAGCCTTGAGGAAGGTTCTCTTGTCCCCATTTTACAGATGAGGAAGCTGAGGCACGGAGAGGGGCCCAAATGCCAGGGAGAGACTGGGTCATGCTGGAGCCGCCTGTGTGAGAGCTCCAGGGAGTGAGGACCTCCTGGAAGCTGGTAGAAGACAGATGGGAAACTCGTCCACACATGGGGTTTGGGAGGCGGCACAGATGTCACCACAGCTGGCGGGAGCGAGCGACAGCCCGCAGAAGGTGGAAGGAAGTGCGGCTGGCGGCACGGGACTCAGACCTCCCTGAGACGGCCACTCGGTAAGTAGCTATTTTCCGAGCACCTACTAGGTTCCCAGCGCCTGCAGAGGCTGCGAACAGTCTAGGAGCAGAACCCGTGCCCTCGGGAAGCTTCCACTCTAGTGGGGACAGACAATGACAGACCAACAGCAAGAGTGTGTGTGATCAAGTGTTAAACACTATGTGAAAACGACTCAGAAGTACTGACGCATGCTACGGCTGGGGGTGAACCTTGAAAACACATTCAGTGGAGAAGCCAGGCGCAGAAGGCCACGTCGTGCGTGTATGATTCCATGCACAGCTGACCCTTGAGCAGCGCAGGGTTGAACGCACGGCTCCACCTATACAGAACTTGTTTCACTAAATACGAAGTGCAGGACTAGTAGGTCTGCCAGTGGCTGAATCCACGGATGCGTAACCACGGACATGGAGAGCCAGCTGTCAAGTTATCTGTGGATTTTCGACTGCGTGTGGGGGGGGGGTCTGGGCCCCGAACCACCACGTTGCTCACAGGTCACCTGTACGTGAAATGTGCAGAACGAGCGAATCCACGAGAAACAAAGTGGAGCAGTGGCTGCTGACGTGGATCCTCTCCTGGACCAAATTCTACTCGGACTCCTAGTCGGAAAAGTCAGGCCTAGTTGGGAAAGAGCTCAGGCAGGCGGAAGGGCACAGCTCACCCGTGCTAAACGATCCCCCAGGACAGCCCACCCCTCTGAGGAAGGGAAGAAAGAGCTGCCCCAGGGCTCCAGGCATGAGGAAAGGTCAAGGTCACATGTGGTCTGGGGAACTCAGGTGGCTGAGCAGTCTTAGGAAGCATCGGGGCACCTTCACGCAGAGCACCCACCTTCACACAGAGCACCCCACAACAGAGCACCTACCTTCACCCAGAGCACCCCGTCACACAGTACCTACCATCACAGAGCACCCCTTACCATAGAGACTCCTTTGTCGGGGGACACTCCTTCCCCGCCCTCGGCCTCTGCAGCTCTGGAGGCCTGGACCCGCTCTGGCACATGGAGGTGGACACGGGGCCCAGGCTGAACCATCCGTGTAAGCGCACGACCTGGGCAACTGTGAGGCTGGAACTAGAGCCGCCGAGGAAGGCAGTTGAGACTGGGTGATGGGACTTCAGGTTGTGCCCCGGGAAGCAGTCCATCTCCCCCTGCCCGTGTGAACCAGGAAGCTCCCGGTGCTTGAACAGAAACCCAAGCCGGGTGAGGGCAGTCTCGGGGGCAGGCCCAAGACCCCAGGCTGTGCCGCGGGCCAGCAGGTGGGGAGGGTGGAAGCTTGGGGCCGTGCTCTGAGGCCCTGTGTCAGGTGAGAGAATGAGAGGAAAAGACCACCGAGGGGCCTCCCTGCAAACTGGCCATGGTGGCACCGAGCCGGACTCTGATCTACGGAGAACAAACTGAGGCCTGTGAGGCTGGGACAGGTGCCCAGGGGGCAGTTAGAAGTGGGGCAGGCACCTGAGCCGGACCTCCTGGCCGAAGGCCCCCTGTGAGCGTGCCAGGAGCGCGCAGGGCAACGTGAGCCCCGCAGGAAGTGGGGAGCCGGTCCCTCCCGTGTGCCCGCTGCACCCCCGGCCCAGCCAGCCCTCCTGGGCCCTCCTTACTGTCAGGCTCCTACACAGGGTGTTTACAGCAGCGCTACCCATGAATACCAAGACTGGGGAGCAAGAGGATATCCTTCAGTAGGAAAATGGATACGTAAACTCAGTACCCCCAGACAGGGGAGTATCATTCAGCATTGAAAAGAAATGAGCCATCGAGCCATGGAAAGACCCAGAAGAAGTCAACCTGAAAAGGCTACACTGTGTGATTCCAGCATCGTGGAAGAGGCGAAGCTATGGAGACAGTAAAGGGACAGGGGTTAAAGTCAGGGGAGGGAACACAGAGCACAGAGGATATTCAGGGCAGTGAAACGACTCTGCATGACACTGAAATGGTACAGGTCATCATGTGTGCGTCCAAACCCACAGCACGGGCACCAAGAGCGAATCACAACGTAAACATGGACTCTGGGTGATGCTGACGTGTCAGTGTAGGTTTATCAGTTGTAACAGATGAATCCCACCCATGCAAGGGGTTAACAGGAGAAGTAAAGTGGGTGGCAGGGGGAGAGGGAGTATTTGGGAACTCTCTGTACTTTCTGCACAATTTTTCTGTAAACCTAAAACTACTGTAAGAAATGAAGTCTATTAATTTGACAACAAAATGCCACGGTTGTCTTAATCCTCTTTCGGCATTTCTTTGTGCAACATACCGGGAGCCCCACAGAGCGGAAGGGGCTGCATCTCCACCAGGCACGGCCCTTCCTGTCTGCAGAGCCCGGAGCACGCACTCCAGGAAGCCAGACTGGAGCAGCCCTGCTGGGACCTAGCCTTTTGAGGCCCCACCTTCCACTTCCTCTATCACTACCCCTCCGCGAACTTTCGTTTCACATTGCGGTTAGCCTTTCTGGTAACTTAATGAGATACTTTTAGCCTATTAAAACAATATGTAGGGCTTCCCTGGTGGCGCAGTGGTTGAGAATCCGCCTGCCAATGCAGGGGACACAGGTTTGAGCCCTGGTCCGGGAAGATCCCACACGCCACGGAGCAACTAAGCCCGTGTGCCACAACTACTGAGCGTGCGCTCTAGAGCCCGTGAGCCACAACTACTGAGCCTGTGGTCTAGAGCCCGCAAGCCACAAGTACTGAGCACGCGTGCCACAACTACTGACCCTGCGAGCCTAGAGCCTGTGCTCCACAAGAGAAGCCACCGCAATGAGAAGCCCGCGCACCGCAATGAAGAGTAGCCCCTGCTTGCCGCAACTAGAGAAAGCCCGCGCACAGCAACGAAGACCCGATGCAGCCAGAAAAATAAAAATAAATAAATTTATAAAAAAAAACCCTTAAAAACAGATAAATAAAAAACAACACGTAGTCTAAAATATGGAAACCTTACCACTCAACAACAAAAAGAGAAAGCATCCGATTCAAAAACGGGCAAAGGACATGAATGGATATTTCTCCAAAAATGACCTAGAAATTGCTGACAGACACATGGAGAGATACTTGAGGTCACTAGCCGTCGGGGGCGCGCACACCAAAACCACAGCCTCTCACACCCACCCAGAGGCGGAGCGGGGGGCCCTCCTGCGCCGTGGGTGGGGACGGAAGTGACGCGGCTGCTGTCAAGGTCTGGCACCCGGTGAACCCCTGGAGGACTGAGCTCCCAGCCTTGCCCCGAACCTGACCTCCAAACTCCAGCTGCTGCTGCAGGACATGGGGGGGCGGGGCGTGTGGTCCGAGAAAGGAGGTGACGGGAGAAGGGTAGGCCGTGACAAACCATCAGTAACAGCAGCCCAACAACTCCAGAGGTTTATTTCCTTAAATTGATGTTACACAACTTAACCGAAGGGGGGGGGGGGGGGGGGGGGGGGGGGTGACACAAACGTCTTGTCAGGTAGACCAAGGGTGGAGAGCTGTGCTGTGGAGGACAGGCTGGGTGGGCGGCGCTCACCCCACAGCCCGGAGGTCACCCGCGGACAGAGCCCAAGGGGCCCCTCCCACAGCGCCGGCCCCCCAGAGGCCCCGGTTCCAGCCAACCGTAAAGCAATAAATACGGACATTTTCTGCGCAGGAGGAGAAGCTCAAGCCACCGGTGAGGAGACAGAAACGAGTCCCAGGCTGCTCTTCTTCTGGGTCCAAGCACAGAGGCAAGATTTCAAGTATCGCAAGAGAGAAACGCATGGGGTCCTCGCCTGGGCCTGTGGGGAAACCTCAGCGCCGGGGGCGCCGGGCTGCGGCGGCTCCCTCTGCATCCTTGAGGACACGTTCGAGAGGAGCTAGGCAGAGCCGGGCAGACCAGAAAAGGGACCCCCGGGCCTGGAAGGTGGCCTCCCCGCCGACCCCCCACGGCAGCCAGGACCTGGTGAGGGGACAGAGGGCTTGACGTCAAAACCTCCTGTGAGAGCTGGACAGGTAGGTTTGCGCACAAAAGCAGTCCTCAGCTGCCCGCGGTCTTCAGGCAGGGAGCAAGGGCAGGGGTAGGGCCGCCCTACAGGCGGGAGGGCGGACGGCCACGCGCAGACCACACGCGCCCAGCGCCACCGGCCCCCGGGGTCTCAGCATCGCTGCCGAGGCTGCCCCGATCCGCCCCCGTCCTTTAGGAACAAAACGTCAACTCATACGAGTTTTCTTCTTTTAAAAAAAAAGAAAAATGAAAAAGAGCTGCAGAAGATAAGACACATCTTAGGAGTTAAGTGTGAAAGACGGCAACAGCGTCTGTGCTGGGTTTTGGAAGCCCGGTGCTTCGTACTGTCCGTCCCTAAAAGAACATTTAAGTAAGACGGCGGCTTCGCCTCGAGAGCAGCCCGGGCGCAGGCACCGCACACGCGCTCACGGAGCCGTGTGCACACGGACGTGTGATTACGGGTGTGCACACGTGCCTGGTGGTGCAACAGCCGGGTCCAGTCCGCCTGCATAAAGTGCTGGGTGATCACAAAGCTGGGTGGTGGTCTCGGGGGAGGGAGGGGTGGGAGCCAGGAGGACACACCTTCTGCTGGGTGGATCCGCTGGGCAGGCCTGGCGGCTTTGGCTTGAGTGGGCATCACGGTCTCAGGGCCTCTGCTTGTCCTCAGCGAGACAGCCCTGGGGTCTGGGCGGGGCGGGGGCTGCCCACGCATCCCCACCTGCCATCGAGGCAGCCGGGAGAGCAGTTCAGATCGCCGGCTGGGCGGGGAGTTCTGCCCGTCAGCCAGGCCAGGGGACTGGCCTACGTCGAGGTTCTGTGCGGGGCCTCCAGCGCCCTGAAGTCCACGGCCGCAGAGCCCAGGAGACAGAGACGCAGCCTGAGGCCTGGCTCCGGACGCTGGGTGGGGAGCCACGGTCCTTTCCCCAGCACCAGCGAGTGGTGTCACGGCCGTGGGCTTGTCCCTTCAAGTCCGGCCAGCTGCTCCCCACCCCATGGATCGGCAGTAAAGGTCCAGGCCCCTTGGGCACCGTGGGCCGGGCCTCCAGGAGGTCAGGCACAGATGCCGGTCAGCAGGGCCGAGAGTCTCCGCTCGATGCACAGCTTGCCTGGAGCGAGGGAGGGAGGGGGGGCGGGCACCACGGTGAGCGGGCAGCGGCTGCCCCCTCCCGCCCCCGCTCCCAGGGGCCCAGCGGACACTGACACTTGGCGATGTTCTCCACGTCTGCCTGGTCCGAGAGGATCTGCTGCAGTCCCTCCATGAGCAGCAGGGCCTTGTGGTAGCGCTGGACACAGTCCTCCCGGCGGTGGAACATCTCGTCCAGGGCGGCCGACTGCACCTGCCGGGTGAGGGCGGAGGCTGGGCCCAGCTGCCTTCCACAGAGACGGGGGACCCAGGGCTGACGGCCGCACGAGCCACGGGGCAGCACGCTGTGGGCGCCGCCGGGTCACGCGCAGGCAGCCGGGGTTACAGGGCAGGCGACCGGCCACCCGCACCAGGCAGAGCACTCCCTCGGTCCCGGTCATGTCAGTGATGGTCACCCCTGGGGGAGGGGAGCTCGGGGACGAGGAGGCCGACTGTTCCCGAACGTCTCTTCGGGCTGTGTTTTTACTGCACGAGTGAATTTTCTCGAAAACAGGCACTGCCTCAGAAGCAGCGCTTTTTGGGCACAAGGACCCCAAAGCGACAGACGCAGAGCACTGGGCAGGGCCCCTCCCAGCCCCTCCTGCCTTCACGCCACAGCTCCCAGCTGGGCTGCCTGCGTTGGTTCCCTCTAGAGAAGAAGGAACCAACTCACCTGCTAAGAGCCTTGAAAACCAGGTTCCCCATTTTCCAGGTAAGGAACCTGAGTTTCAGGGAGGGACACATCTGGGCCGTGGAGCCTCACAGCGAGGCAGAAGCCCAGGTGAGCTCCCGGCTCCCCACCAGGGCTGGAGGGGCCCGGGTGACATTTGCTGGCTGAGGGGACAGCGTAGTGGAACTTCCCACCCCGGGAGTGATGCCCCTGAAATCCGGCGGAGCTGTGGCCGTCAACCCGCCCCTGCCGGCCCCTCAGCCCGCTCTCCCCGCCCGGCCCCACGTGGCCCTGCCCGGCGTACCGTCTGCACCGCGTGGCTAAAGATGAGCTTCTCGGCGGCGACGCTCTGGATGCGGTCTAGGAGCCGCTGCTTGTCTAGGAAGAAGCGCTGCAGCCGCAGGCTCAGGCCTTGGCAGGACACCACACTCGTCTTGTACAGCTCGTTCAGCTTCCGCACCACTGTGGGAGGCACCCCGGCAGCTCAGGCCGGCCCCCAGCAAGGGAACCCACGCGACCAGCGGGCAAAAGCCCCTCACTCCGTCCCCGGGGCGCTGTCCGACCCCACCTCCTAGGTGCTCTGCTCAGCAACTCACGCTGCGCCTTCCCGCCCCAGGCCCATGGGGGCCCTGCCGCAGGGCCTTTGCACCTGCCCCCCACCCCCACTATCCCTCCCCGGGCTGGGCCTGCACCAGGGAACCTCCTCAGGAAGGCCTCCCTCGTCACCTCTTCCTCGCTGACCTTCTCCCAGAGATAGCTATCCCTCCCTCCCCGACTCCCTCAGGGTCTCATGCCCCGAACGCTGCTGCTGCTGCTGCTGCCGCTGCCGCCGCCGCCACCAGCCAAGGCTGCCCTCACCCTGCTTCACGGTGGACGACAGGCAGAGCTTGCCGGCCCGGATCTGGTCGATGGCGGTCTGCAGGCCCGAGGAGAGGAGCTCGGCCGCCTTCAGGTAGAGCACCAGCTGCTCCGCGAAGCTGGAGGGCGGCAAGGACGCATCAGGGGCGGAGGCCGCACCCCCGCTGCCTCCCCGCGGGGCCCCGCTGGGCACACGCACCTCCACTCGCGGCTCAGCAGGCTGATCTGGTCGGCCACCACGCTCTCCTGCAGCTGGTACTCAGGCCCCCCGGCCGCCTCGCTGGCACTGCCCTTCAGGGCCGCGATCTCCAGGACGTGCTGGACAAAGTCGAGCGTGAAGCGCAGGCTGTGCAGGATCTCCGTGTGCTCTTGCTGGGGAGACGGGGCCACTGAGGGACGCTCCTCGGCACCGCCACCAGCCCTGCCCGGACGCCACGCTGGGCCAGGCGCCTGCCCCCGCCCGGCCCTCACCTCCATGAGGGTCTCCTCGGGCAGGTCGGGGGCCTCGAAGGTCACAGCCCCCTCCAGGTTGGCGGCAACGGGGTCGGCAAAGCTGCGGCAGTGGCCGGGGGCGGGTACCTCGAGGGGGGCCTCGCCGTAGGCCCCGGGCGCCAGGTGACGGGCGGAGGAGGAGCCTGCCGAGCCGAGGGGGCTGGAGGGGCCCCCTGTGGGGAGAGGGCCGGCCGCCCTCCCCATCAGGCCTCCGCCACTCTGACACAGAGCCGGTCCCCACCCGCTCCACTCCTGCCCCTCTGCGAGCAGGCGCCCCAGTGGAGGCCTCACCCCTCCCGGGCCCCCGCCCACTGCAGGGGCACCCCGGAGTCCAGGGCCGGGGCTTCAGGGGCCTGGCTGTGGGAGCCGTGCCCCCGAGCCTCCAAGGAGGACCCTCCCAGGGCCTCGCGTGAGAGTAGCGCCTGGCTCAGCTCCTGACTCTACAGCGAGGGCCCCTCCCGCTTCCCGACGGACGGTGTGGGCCGCTGATCCGCCGCAGCCGCGAGGCCAGCAACGGTCCTCACCTGAGAACACGGGGGCACGGGGGCCCTGGGGCGGCGTGGTCCCGCCGGGGGGCGAGCCCACCGTGAACACCACGGGGGAAGGGCTGCCGGCGCCCCCCGCACGGGCTCCCGGGTGCAGGTTCCCTCCGAAGCCAGCAGACGGCCCTGAGAGGGCAAGAGGAGGGGCTCAGGGTCTTCCCGCCGCGGGCGCCCCCACTCCCCAGAATGCTCTCTGGCGGACCCCACGCACCGGTCTCCATGGGCTTTTCCTGCAGGCTGTCCACGCTGCCTGAGTCAGGGGCCTGCGTCCCAAAGGCAGCCTTAAGGAGCAGATCCGTGAGGCGGCCGGCGCTGAGGGACCTGCAGGGTGAAGGGTGGTGAACACGTGCCCTGCGCCACCCAGGGGATCCAGAGACCCAGGCACCAGGCCACCCGCTGCCCAGGGCCGGCCCCCCGGCCCCCCCCAGGCAGGGTCTGGGGGCCCCGCAGCCTGGTCAGCATGCCCAGCCCGTCCCGACTGTGCTGGCCACCCGGTCCTCCCACCCACCCCGGGCAGTTACTGTCACCCATTGAACAGACGCACAAACTGAGGCTCAGAAGGGGTTGAAGAGGGAGTGAGGTGCCCGCAGACAGCAGGCAGGGCTGGGCCTCTCCTCCCGCAGGCCACGTCGGGGGAGTCCCCACCCACTCACCTGCCAAAGGAGCCCTTGGCGTCCTCGGTGGGCCGCAGGCCGGGGCCCAGCTGCTGCCCCTGGAAGGGCCCCGCCTCGGAGAGGTCGGGCAGCGTCCGGTTCCGAGGCGGCGTCATCACCACGCCCTGCCGGGCCAGGAGAGTCAGCAAGTTCTGGGAGCTGGGGGTCTTGGTGAAGTCGAACGCGGGCACGGCCTAGGAGGGGCAGGTTAAGTGCTGAGAACGACCCGCCACGGTGACATTAACATCTCAACGGGGTCAGCAGCGCTGGTCTGAGCCTGCAGGGCCCCATGCCGCAAAACCCCAAACTTCCACGACCCAGGTCTTCACAGGAAAGGTGTGAAGGCTGACTCCACCCTGTGCTGGAGGACAGTGACACACGCAGACGCACGCGTCCAACACAGGCCACGCACGTGTGCACCTATGCCCGCACAGAGACACCACGAGGTAGCTGAAGGTTCTGGCCCCATTTCACAGACAGGAAGACTGAGGCAAGCGATGAGCTAAGTAATGTGCCCATGGTGGCAGCCTGGGTTCTCTGGGGCTCTGGATGCTGGGCCAGGGTCGGGACGCTTCCGGTCAAGGGCCAGAGAGCAGGTGTTTTGGCTTTGGGAGCCAGTCTTCGTCACGGGGACGTGGCCACCCCACACGTGAACGGGGAGACACGGATCCAGCCACCAGCCAGTGCAAGAGGTCTCAGCACAGAGGGCAGGCGCTGCTATGCTGGAGCACACCAGCCCTGCCTCTGGCTTCCGGGGCCCCTCAGGTCCTGTGGGAATCCTGCCAGACACAAAGCCCGGCGGCCCGAGCACATACAGAGCCACTCCCACCCACCCCCCTGGAGGCCCGCGGCCCTGTTACCTTGGTCGGGGAGCCCAGAATAGGGGGCAGGGGGTTCCGCTGCAGGAAGTCGGGCAGCTTGGGCGAGCCGCGCAGGGGCCGGCAGGACTGCAGCCCATGGGAGGGCTGCGGGGGGCTGGCTTGCGGGTGGCCGAACGCCACGCCCAGCGGGTCCGTGGGGGGCTTGGGCAGCTTGGGACGCACCACACGCAGGTCGGACAGGTTCGGGGCACTGTGCAGGCGGCAGCCCAGCCCGGCGCTGTGGGGAGAGTGCTCAGGTGCGGAGGAGCCTAGGGCGGGACAGGACGGGCCCAATCACAGCTGTCCCGAGGACTGCCTGGACCTGCCCACACGACCAACCAGGACAGTGTACAGAGACCCCCACGCCTGCTCAGGATTCCCTACGCTCCACTGCGCACCTGAGGAAACAGGCACAGAGGAGCTGAGACACCTGCGTGAGGTCACACAGCATGGCGGGGTTGGGGTGGGATCTGAGCCCCACAGTGGGCCTCCATAAGCTGAAGGCTTAAGCTTGTTTAAATAGTCTCACAGAGTTTCCTGCCTTCTTTTAACGCGTAAGAAAGGACGGTTGTGAACCAGGAAAACGGCCACTATCCCAAGGAGCGACAGACCAGCCCAGGGAGGTCAGCCCAGCTCCTCCGCCCCTCCCCAGCTCCACCTGCACACCCACTGGGCCGGAGCTGCACCTACCTGGACGAGGGGACCTGCCACCCCGCATCTCAGCTGCTTGGGGGGAGGGCGCCCCGCTCCAGCCTGGCCGCTCGGGGATGGTTCCGACTTGGGGGCAAGAGGGGTTGCCAAGGTCAATGTGGGACAGAGAGTGAGTCCCTCCCCCGCCCCCCGCGTGGAGACTCCCAGTCCCAGCTCCGAGGCTGGGTCCACCAGTGGCGTGCAGGCTTACCCTGGGGAGACGGCGTGTAGGGCCGGCCCCCACCCAGGGAGAACTTCCTGGACAGGGCAGCTCCGTGCTCGGCGTGAGACGGGGGTGACAGGCTGGCCCGTGCAAAGCCCAGCGGGCTGGTGCTGCCTGACCTGCGGATGGCAGAGGACCTGCGGACGCAAGCAGGCACAGGGTGTGAGGGCCCCAGCCACGCCCGGCCAGGGCCACCAGCATGCCACGTGTCTGTCCCCCTCCGTTCAAGTAACGGGCCTCACCAGCAGCCACAACCCGGTGGGAGCCGCCAGTCCCTGCCAGGGCAGCCCCCAACCCACAGGGGTTTCTGTGAATTACAAAAAAAGGTGCCCTCTCCTCTTCCGAAACTTACAAAAATCGAAGTCAGTTTTGTGGACACGAGACACTTCACTGACATCTACCAGAAAGCCGTCACGGTACAGCTTGAGTGCCAGCGTGTCCACAGGGCGGTGGCGCTGACGGTCGCGCAGTGTGCAGTCTGCACAGCCGTGCGTGTGAGAGGGCCCCGCACCATCCAAGTGGGCTGCGTGGGGCCCTCACTGCAGTCCTCTAGGATGTGCCTGGCCACGGGGGCCCGTGCACTCACCGCGCCGCCTGGTACTGGGTGGGCGACTGAAGGCTCTGCTCAATGCGCTGGTAGTTATGCACCTGAGTGGGGACTGGGATGGGGGCCGAGGCCCCGCACCTGCTGCTGGAGGATGCCCCGGCCCGGCTGTGTGGGGAGAGAGGTTGGGGTCACCGCGGCTGGGGCGCTGGGCTGAACCCCAGGCCCTAACATCCCGGGGCAGAGGCCACTCCAGGCCACCTGCTTCCTTGTTTCTGCACACGGCCAGCACTGCTTCCCTGGTACCCCATGCCCCCCACTCTCTGCACCCAGGTGGCTTCTGGCTGGGACCAGCCAGTAGCGAGGTTGGGCCAGCTCCTGCTGGCACTGGGAGTCACTGCCCGCTTCGCCCCACAAGCTCGGGAGGGGCGGAGGGAGCGACGACACTGGTCTCTGGTGGTTCCGGTAACCACCCCTGGGCCCCAAGCCCACCCTGCATCCCTTCCACCACAATCCCTTCCTTCTGCCGGACCACCCACAGGGCCCTGGCACCCTGCCGGGGCTGAATGAAGACAGGGCCTCTGGACACAACCGCTTCCTGCAGGATACGACTGGGGCTGGGGCGCTGTGATGCTGCCTGTGCCCCGGGCCCCGCTTACCCTGAGGGGCTGAGGGAGCTGCTGCAGGGCGGGGAAGGAGACGGGGTCCGGCCGCGGCTCTCCAGGCCAGCAGAGGCCGCCAGCGAGCTCCTGGCGGGGACAGGGCGGACGGCAGGGCCTCACATTCAGGCCAAACCAGCGCAGACCCTGGCCCCTCCTTGGGACTCCGTCCTGCACTGGGCACAGCAGACTCGGCACTTCCCAAACTGTCTGGCCCAGGCAGGTCAGGGGACAGCCTGAGAGCAGGCGTCGCCCTCCCCGCAGAGCCGGCGGGTCTCGGGCTGGGGGCTTACCCGCTGCACATCAGGCTGTCCGGTGGCGGCTTGGCACCGACCGCCTCGGCCACCAGGTCACCTGTGGATGGGACACGGGTGAGGCTGGGCCCAGGCACCTCTTCCTGGGCGGGCCCAGGCCACAGCGAGCCCAGCACTCTCCCGTCCCCGCTCCTGTCGCTCGCGCTGACACCCCCCTTTGCCTGTCTGGACCTCACGGCACTCAGAGACGCTGGTACCCTCCCCACACACCAGCCTTCAGCGAACCCCAGGCTGGGTGTCCACACCTCCCAATCTGGGCCTCACTCCTCCTCCAGGACCGCTGGGTCCCCACCTTCCCGCTGCCCTCCTTGAGCTGCCGGTGGCTGGGTACAGGGCCTCTCCTCCCCTGCGAAGCCAAGCCGACAGGCTCAGGGTGGCCCGTCGGACACCTGGGCCCGCTCCCACGCGGCCCCGGCCCGGGAGTCTCAGGGCAGCCAAGGCCGTGAGGGAAGTACCAGCAGCCGGGGTCGCGAGGGGAACTGAGGGCCCGAGAACAGGGCTCTGCGGGGTGGGCGGGGGCAGCAGCTCCCCCCTCGGAGCAGGCGCCCCGGACGCTCCGCGGCAGGCAGGACTCAGCTCTGACTCTCTGGCCAGGCTGATCTGGGGTAGAAACTTCCAGAAGCCCCTTCTTAAGGGTTCCGTCTGGCATGTCTGCAGCGATCTCCCTGCCCACCCCTGCCTGGTGGCCCCCTGACCTGGAAACTGGGCCGGGACCATGACGAAGTCATCAGTGTCACAGGACGAGTCCTTGCTGCTGCCGCCCGAGTCCCGGGAGCCCTGCAGGAAGCCGGCGGCCTCGGCCGGGGAGGTCAGGGTCTTCTGGAGCTGCTGCTGCATCTCCCCCAGGGACTGGGGGTCAGAGGGGAGGCCGCTGAGACCCGGCCCCAGGGCCTGGGTGAAGGGGACTATGGGGACGAGGCAGAGGCTCTGCACGTTCTCCTTCCCCAGGCCGCTGCTTTTCCGGTGACCTCCCCACAGGAGCGGTCACCTCACGGAGCCCCCTGCTGCCCAGCACGAGGAACCGCTTGGCCCCCAAAAGCTCCAGAGGCCCCATGTCAAGCGACTCCCCCACAGCCCCCGTGGCCCTGCATAGCGCTCGGGAGGTGGGGCGTCTGGAAGGTCCACCTTCGGGCGTGAGCGAGCCTGGCCCTGGCCCCCGCCTGGCAAGACGGACGGACAGACAGACGGCCCAAGGGAGGTTCAAGCCCCAGTGCCCCCGCCCCCGAGCACAACCTCGGCAGACCTCACCCCAGCCCTGTGCTGGGGACGTGGGCTGCGGGGCGGGTGGGCTCCCAGGACACGGGGCCCCCACCCGTGGCCACCTGCGCGCCCGTGCACATGCAGGCGCGGAGCTGACACGGTGCTGAAGAGACCGACGGGACACAGGGACCCTGAAACAGGCCTCCACCCACTTCTAACTCCGCCACATTCACAAGCAGAACGTTTCTGAGTCTGGTGTGATGAGACCAGACGACACAGCAGAAGGCGCGAGCTGGGGCGGGGCGGGAGCCCGACGAGGTTCCTGCGGACGCCCGCACGCCCCGAAGCCGAGGCGACAGGAGCCCGCCGCCCGCCGCCCTGCGCGTGACTCACCGGTGGGGAGGCCAGGTGTGAGGTGGAGCTGCTGCTGGAGCTGCTGCCGGACCCCGAGCTTGGGTACGAGGGCACGGGCACGGGCGGGGCTGGCAGAGGGCGCGGATCAGCACCCGTCAGCATGGGATGCTCCGCTCCCACCCTGCCCATGTCAACCCCACGCCGAGCACAGCTGCCGGCTCGGGACCCGCCCCGCCCCAGAGGAACCCAGGGACCGGGAGGGGACCTGTGCGAGGGCCTGCCCTCACCTCTCCAATCCCACTGCACCAAGTCAGCTGAGCTCGAGCCCACCCCCTGGCCTCTGGGGCCCCTGGGGACCACAGGCTGGAGGAGGGCTGAGGAGCTGGTAGCCCCCAACCTCCCGGGGTGGGGCTGGCAGCCCACAGGGAGAAGGCGGGGGCACGGGAGTGCCGAGACCCTCAGGGGACTCACACTTCTTCACAGCGGCACTGGAGTCAAGGAAGGGGTGATGGAAAAACTCATCTGCAGGAGAGGGATGGGCCCGGGCTCAGGAGGGGTGAGGCCAGGCCCCACCGTCCCCGGGGCCCTGTCCCCGCTGCTGCACTCCAGCAACGGAGGGAGGCAGAGTCCCAGCTGGTGCCCCCAGCGCGGCCCAGGCCCGGATCCAGCCACCCTGCCCACGGTTTTCCCAGCAGTGCTGCCCATTGCAAAACCGGGGATTTATCTCCGCTGCTGGGAAAGGAGCTGCGGGCCCCGGGAAAAGCCACTCACTGCCGCCACAGGGCCCCTGGGAGTGGGGTGTGCAGGACGTGGGGGGCAGGGGCGCAAGCCCGAGGGCCCTGACCCCCCAGGCCTGTCGGCCGAGGTGGCGGGCCAGCCAGGGGGTGCTCACCGAAGTCCATGCGGTCTCTGTGGTTGCGCTGAAGCAGAGACAGGAGCAGCTGTCTCAGCGGGGCCGAGGTCTCCCGGGGGATGCTGGGGGCACAGGGCACGACGTTGACAGGGCAGCCTGCCCGGGGGCGGGGGGGCGGGGTGTCTGTGTCTGGCGGGAGGGGCACTCACGGGGGGACCAGCGTCTTGTTCTTCTCATAGAAGAGGCGGAGGTCCTGGGGGCTGCTGGCCTGGAAGTGAGGGCCAGGGGGCCAGGCGTGAGTGTCCCTGCTGCTCTCAGCCACTAGCCGCTCAGAGCCTCTGTCTCCCGAGAGGCCCCTGGTCCAGCACGGCCAGCCTGTCTGTCCAAACACTGAGCGCCCTCGCATGCTTCCAAGGAAGGGGGCCCCCTCCCCACCCCGCCAGGCTGTGGAACCACGGGGACCACACAGGGGGGCCAGGGGGGCCCAGAGCAAGGATGCTGGCTGGGCCCCCTTCCCACCTGGTGCGGGTGCATCCTGGGTATCTGGTGTGACCGGTCATGTGCTTCTTAAAATTAAAATGTGGTCCGTGCACCCCACCCCAGCAAAGGGCCCCAGAACAAGCTCGCCCCCCAAGTGGGCCCCGCCCACACGCCTGTTCACGTGTCACGCGCTCAGCACTGCTGTGTGCCAGGCACTGTTCAAGGCTCGGGGAGTACAGCCGAGAGCAAGACAGCCCCTGCCTTCCCAAGGCCAACATGCCAGCGGGGGACGGCCCTCCGCTAGTCGCTTGCTCACGTGCAGGAAACGGCAGGCAGGGAGGTACGGGGAGCGGGGATGGGGGCAGCCTAGGTCACCGGGCAGGCAGAGGGCGCTTTGAGGCAAGTTGGCGACAGCGGAGAGCTGCCGGGTCAGCCCACGAGGCCAGCACGGGACGCAAGGGTCTGCGACACGGGCTCGGGGCCCTGGACCCTTTGGGGTCCAGCACACGGCCCGCCACTGCCTTCCAAATGCAGGGTGTACCCCAGAGCTTGGGGTCCTCGTACCAATCTGGTGGGTCACGCCAGCCCTGGAATGGGCAGGAGGGAGGCCACGAAACTTGGTTCAGACACACATGTGGACACGCACAGGTACGCCCCAGAGCCAGTGGAGGCTCCGGCCTCGGCCCTGAAGTGACTGCACAGGGGGGAGCTGGGCGGCCACGGCATGCTGGCAAGGGGAGGCTGCAGGGCTGAGCGCGCCACACCCCCTGCCGGGGCCTCACCTGGAAGGGCGCCTTCCCTGTCAGGCACTGGTACACGATGGTGCCGATGCTCCACAGGTCCGCCTTCCCGTCGTAGTGCTGGGACATGATGACCTCGGGGGCCTGCGGGGTACAGTGCGTCGGCGCGACGGCAAGGACGGACACTGAGCGCGCGCTGCGCAAAGTCTGGCTCCAGCCAGGTGCCAGCCAATCATAACACACGCCAGCCGAACGCCACAGATGTGGCGGGAAATGGTACAGCCACGACGGCTGCCACCCAAAGTGAGGCCACAGGATGGACACGGGAGGGAACCCCACCGCGGACCCCCCTTCCAACAGGCCACCTACCATGTACATGGGGGAGCCGCAGAGCGTGGCCGCCATCATGTTGCTCTGCAGATACCGGGCAAAGCCGAAGTCGGCTGCAGGCAAGGAGAGGCGTGAGAGGGGTGGCCGCGGCCCCCGGGCCTCCGCCGGTCTCCCCGGGCCCCGGCCGCCACCTCACCGATCTTGACCCGGATGTTGCTGGGGGTGGCACGGCGCCCACCAGGGTTGGACAGCAGGAGGTTCTGGGGCTTCAGGTCCCGGTGGATGATGCCCTTGCTGTGCAGTAGCCGCACGGCACCGGCGATCTGCTGCAGGAAGAGCCGGATGGTGTCCTCGCTCAGCGTCCGCATGGCTGAGGGGAGACGGGCTCCGTGGGGCGCAGCTCGCCCGGGCGCCCCGGGCCAGCGGCCTCCCGCCCCGCATGGCTCCCGCGCCCCTCCCTGCGGCCTCCAGGCCCGTCGGCCACGCCGTCTGACCCTGAGCTGCCCCGTGTCTGCTCCCAGCCTGCGAGCCCCGCGGTGCTGCCCAGCACACCCCGCCCCTTCTCAGCTGAGGGCCGCTTCTCAGCAGCTCCCTCTACCCGCTGCCCAGGGCATGCAGCACGGCCAGCGGCTGTGCGATGAGCCCCAGGCCCGGCCTCAACGGTGGTCCCCCACCCACGCCAGGACCCTGTGAAGGCCCGCCCCCTGAGGAGAGCCGGACCCCACTGGGGCCCAGGACAGGTCTGGCCCCCGCAGAGCAGCCGACCGGCGACCGGGACCCTGCCGGGCACCACATCCACAGCGGGCCGCACGGGGCCCCGCTCAAGAGTGACCTTGCAGACCACGTCTGCCCTGAGAAGCCATCCCTCGTGGCTCTGACGCAGCATGTGTCCCCAGCGGGGCTCCGCTCCCCCTTGCATCTTTCCCAGCAGGCGCCAGGGGGATGGGAGCCTCCGCCATCACCATCAGGCCCAGGAGAGCTCGTTCAGGCCAGGCCCCCTCTCAGAACGGGTCAGGTGAGCCTCGCGGGCAGCCCGTCCCGCCGCAGGTGTCCACTCACTGTGCAGGTAATCGGCCAGATCGCCGCCGTTACAGTACTGCAAGAGACCGCCACACGCCTCGGTCAGCGGCCAGGGCACCCCGCCCGCTGTGCCCGGGTCTCCCACCACCCCACCCCTGGGCGCTGCTCCCTGGGCACTCGGTGCCGTCTCCAGCCTGGGCAGGCGTCCCCCGCAATCCGTGCTTGAGGAGGTCAATGGGGGTGCTCGCCGGTGAGGCGGCCCGAAGCCCACAGATATGAAAACAACTTCTCACCGCAAGGTGACAAGGGGCCTGAGAGCCGAGAGGGCCCAGCCTCCCCGTCCTCACAGCTGGCCTCCAGGACTCACCTCCATGACCAGGTAGACGGAATTGGCCATTTCCTGCAGGACACAGAAGAGGCAGTGAGAGGTGGGCAGCGGCACGCCCCGCCCCCCAGTCTGGCAGCCGTCTGGGAAGACTGGCTTGGCCCCAGCGTGACCCAGGCACCCGGCACCTGCAGCTGCCCGCAACACACTGCCTGGGCTCAGGCAGGAGAGGCCACTGAGCGTGGACACTGGCTGGCCGGGCAGCCCTGGGGCCTGTCATGCCAGGGCTTAGCCAGTTCGTTAGTGGCCAGGAGATGAGGAGGTCTGAGAGCCAAGTGGGCTTGAGTGACCAGAGAAGCAGCCAATCAGATCACTCCATCTGTCAAGTCTGGGGAAGGGGCTGAGGACCCAGGAGAGGTGTCAGGGGTGGAGCAAGGACCCCGCCTCCCGGGGGCAGCCCTCAGCAGCCCAGGTCTCCATCAGGGTCAGGGTCAGCCCTGGCCCGGAGGTTCTGACAGGGCTCCGCTTGCTCTTCTATGAGTGCTGAGTCCTGGCCACGTAGAAGCACTTAGTGGGGGACCCAGGCCCCCAAGAAGGGACACAGCGAGGGTGTGAGGGCCTGACTCTCAGGCCGCGGAAACTGCTCCTGGCTCTGGAACCAAAGATGCCGGCAGCATTATAGGTTGGCGCCGCCAGCCCACTGCCGGCCTGCTTCCGGCTCAGCCCTTGGCCACCCATGGCCTCGGGTTGCCACCAGCATCCACAGCTCGGTCCACGACAGCAAGACTGCGGAGCCCGTTGCTCAGGCCAGCGCACAGACGCCTTCCCGCACTCACGGCCCTGGCGTCCGTCTAGGAGGGGCCCCTGAGATCCCCAGGTCACAGATGAGGAAACTGAGCCCAGCGAAGCCAAGTCAGCCAGGCAGGCGGGGTCCTGACCGCTCTGCTCTCCTGCAGACAGTCCCCTCCCCTCCTTCCCAGGCGGGGTCTTCCCCAACGGAGGGGCCCTGCCAGCCAGGAGCAAGTCCCCAAGCCCCTTCAGCACCAGTACACTGCTGGGCCCTGCGGACTGGGAACAGCCCCTCCCCGCCGCCCAGAACGCACCGAGTCCCCATTCCCCACCCGCTGCTCACGGGCAGCTCCAGCTTCTAACCCCCAGGGGCAAGGGGGCAAGTGCGTGCGCTGGCCCCGGAGCTCTCAAGGCATGCGGGGAGCCCCGAGGGAAGCCTGGGTGGAGGAGGGAGGTGGCTGCAGGAGGGTCATTTCTCAGCGGCCTTTGGGGGAGGGCACCCGAGGCCCAGACAGACTTGATCCCCAGCAGCGGGCCACCACCCCGACCTGGCAGGACAGAGGACCCCTGATCAGTCACCCTACCCCCAGGAGGTTGGGCCTGGGCTCAGACCCACACCAGTAGAACACAAAGCCACTGGGTGACACCCCAGGTGTAAATATCAGCCCCCTGAAACAAGAGAAGACCCCTACGGGACTGCCCTGGTGGCGCAGTGGTTGAGAATCCACCTGCCAATGCAGGGGACACGGGTTCAAGCCCTGGTCTGGGAAGATCCCACATGCCACAGAGCAACTGAGCCCGTGAGCCACAACTACTGAGCCCACGCGCCACAGCTACCTCCGAAGCCTGCACGCCTAGAGCCCGTGCTCCGCAACAAGAGAAGCCACCACAGTGAGAAGCCCGCGTGCGGCAATGAAGACCCAACACAGCCAAAAAAAGTAAATAAAAAAGATACATTTATATCCAAAACAAAAGAGAAGCCCCCATGCCTCCAGAGCTCCCCCAACAGAGGGGCTGTGCGTCCGGGACAGGGACGCCCCGGGGAGCAGGGCTGAGAGGTGGACACTGACAGCTCCGGGAGCTGGCTGGGCCGCGTGCCCCACCCTGCTTCCCCAGGCCCTCACTCAGCGGCGTGTCCGCAGGGATGCAGAAGCCTTCCCAAGTGCCCAGCCGGGCTCCTCTGGGAGGGGGCGGGCTCCGCCCACCAAAGCAGGCCCCCCCCCCCCCCCGCCCCCCCCCCCACCCAGGAGAGAGGTGGGAGCTGCCTCAGCCCAGCACGCAGGCCCCGCCCTCCCAGGCCAGCTGTGGGGAGAGATAATGCAGGGAGAAAGTCCCCGGTCACGCCGCACCCACGACTGCGACCAACCCCGGCGGGGTTGGCAATGGGGACAGAGGGGTACCAGGAGGAGGGAGATCCCAACAGAGGGAGGCTCTGAGAGCCGGGTGCAGAGCCGGAGGCTCCCGGGCCGAGGGGCCAGAGATGAGGACCCAGAACTAACCCAGGAGATAGAACAGCCACTCCCCGTGACACCCAGGCCACCTGTTCCCTCACCTGCCGTCACCCTGACCACGGCCACCTCTGGGGACATGCTTAACAGGCTCCCGAATTCACCCGCCAGGGAGCAGCCTTGTCTTGAGTGGCCCAGAGGTGCCACACCGCTAGAGGGGCAGCGCAGGGCAGGGCCCAGGCACCCCCAGCTCTCGGCTGTCCTCCCGACAGGACCCCTGCTCCCCAGGAAAGCCTCCGATGACCGACCGAGCCAGGACGGGCAGGGCCGGATGACAAGGACAGGAGACAGGTGCAGCCTCCACGCCCCCGAGGGTCCCCGGGCAGCCACCCAGGGCTGGCAGAACCGTGGCTGGGTGGGACAAGGGGCCTGCCAGCTGGGAGGTGAGTCCTGCGCAGCCTGGACCCCACGACCTCCTGCCCCAGAAAGGAGGTGCCTGTGCATCAGTGACAGCACACTGCCCTTTGTGCCCAGGAACCCACGGGACCCCCGCACAGGACCCCGAAACCCGCTCCAGCTGGGGGCGCTTCCAAACACCAGGCCAAACGCCCTCCTTCCCGCGGGGCCACCCCACGGGGCCCGCTGCCCACTGGCTCGGGGCTCCTAGCCCTCCCCGCTGCCTGACACCCTGGACCCCCGAGACCTCCCTGAAGCCTTCCTGGTGCCCTCGGCGAGCTCTCAGTGAGCAAAGACCAGGGGCTCTGGGGCCCCTCTTCTCCCCCGATCTCTGTCCCTTCACCCCATGGGTCACCCAGCAGAGACCGAGCGTGTTGCCCGCAGGCCCTACTGTGCACAGAGCCCAGAGGTTCAGGGCCTGAGGGGGAGAGCACAGCAGGGCTAGGCCGGGGGAGTCGTGCCCACCTCCCCTCACCACGTGGGATTCGGGGTCCCCCACTGCCCTGGCTTCGGAAGGCCCCTTCCCCGCCCGCAGCATCAGCTTGTGAGGCGCCAACCCCATGGGCCGGCACGAGCCTCGGCCACGCCTGCAGCACCCCCAGTGTGGCGGTCTCCGGGACGGCTGCGTGCCTGGGCCCCCCTGAGGAAGCCGGTTCTCCAGGCTCCCCGGGGGGGCCGTCAGCACGGCCTCGGTGGCACTGCTGGGCTGCCCCTGGCAGCCTGCTGCCCACCCGAGACCTGGAGAGGTCACGCCTCGGCCCTCCTCCGCCTGAGCTAAATTTGGTCTCCACGAGCTCCCCCAGGCTGGGGGACCAAGCGGACTGCAGACAGCAGGCCGCCTCCTTTGGGGTCGGTCCAGACTCGGCCTGGACACTCGAAAGGACCAGGACTGCTTCCTGGGGCTGTGGCGGCCGCCGTGCCAGAGGGCTCCCCTCCTGGGGGAGGCGGATGAGGGAGCTTCTGGCCGCGCTCTTGGCCCCAGGAGTCCATCATGTTCTTAATGCAAAACCACCAACATGGCCGAGGCGCCGGCCCACCGGGCCTCCAGCCTGCAGGGAGCACAGCGGGGCCACCCCCATCCCACCAGTCCCCCCGGCGCAACCTGAGGAGCGGGCAGGTCCCATCGACGTCCCAGCCGACTTAAGGGGAGGAAACGGGCACAGACAGGCCCTGTGATTCTGCCTGGCATCCGGGCACCAGAGTCCTGGCCGCCCCACCGTGCGTGCGGCCCCCAAGGACGGGGGCCGTGAACGCTGACCCGCACGCCTCGAGAGGACAGGCGAGGCCCTGCAGGCGCGATGAAGCGGCACCCTCTCCGTCTCTCAGTGGCGCGCCCACAGGCCCTGGGGACCGGGCCGGCCCGGGTGTCGGGGCCAGGTGTCCCAAGCAGCCTGGCACGGGCGCCCGGGCACGCAGGAGGCCGCCCTGCCTCCACAGGGTGCTAAGGTGCTTTGCTTAAGAGGATCCCAGCTCCCGGGCTGGCCGAGCCTGCTCTGTCTGGTGATCCTGGGCTGGGCCTGGTGGGCTGGTGGGCAGGTGGGCGGGCGGGCACTGGCCTAGTTAACCCCTTGGAGTGGGCCGTCCTGGCTCCAGAAGGAGGCAAAAGCCACAGCACAGCCACCCGCCCATGGGAGCCGCGGCACTCCCCGCCCCCAGGCTGGGCTCTCCTGGACAGCGCCCAGACGGGAAGGGATGCCCAGCCCCACCCTGAGGAGGAAGCCCACCCTTCCTCAGGGAGCCTCCTTCAGCTTCCATTGTGTGCCTGTGGCTCCTGGGGGCCAGGGAGCCGGGGGGAGGCCAGCTGCCCTCCCCAGCCCCCTTTTTCCCACACTCCGGGCCTGCCCCTGACTCGGGAGAAGCAGGGGACACTTCCAGAATGGAAAACACAGAATCGACGTGTCCCTGCCCGGACCCACCAAGCCCGCCTGGGTCACGAAAAAGCAAGGCCAAAGGGTGGCACTGTCCTGAATGACCCCACAGCAAGGCAGACCTCTCCCCTTGACTGAGGTGTCCACCCACCCAAAGTCACTAAGGGTGGCTCTGTCAGCCAGGCCGGGAAGTGAGTCACCCAGCTGTGGGAACCAGCTGGACGGCGTGCTGCTCTCAGGAAGGCCCCCGTCCCAGGGCGCACGCTGGGCAGGGATGTCCCCTGACCCCTGTGATGGCCACTCTCCCCAGAAAGAGCACACCCAACCACGGCCCAGCAGGCGAGGGCAAGACCCAGAGCCAGCCGTCTGCCCCTCAAGGAAAGGAAAGGCCAGGGGCTCCCGCTGCCTGCCCACATGTCTGTGGGCCACAGAGCAGAGCACCACCCCAGAGGCCTCCCCCACGCACGCACAGCAGCCTGACAACGGTCACTGTTCCGTATGGCCACAAAACAAAACCACCTCAACAGACAAGAAGCAACCTGAGGAGGAATATTTGCAACCTATCACGGAAGGGCTTTCCTTAATATATAAAGAGTTCCCACCAACCAATATTTATATAGCACTTACTAACAAGTACAGATCTAAACACTTAACATACATAGACTCAAGCTGTCATCACAACCACCATACGACATAGATGTACTGTTATCATCTCCCATTTTCTGGGTAACACTGAGGCACCAGGAGGCTGAGTAACCTGCCCAAGGTCACACAGGTAAGTAAATGAGTGAGTTGGGCTCAGAAAGGCAGGAGGGCGCAGGGCCCATGCTGTTAACCACAGTGCCGTCCAACCTCGGTAATCACAAGACCCACAGGAGCACATCCCTGGGTAGGAGGCATTCCTGGTGTTCACGTGCACACAGAGCGATGCTGAGCCTCCCCCCAAAGTGAACAACAGAACCATAAGAGATGTCATTTTCCACCTCTCAGGCAGGCCAAGATGGAAGTCTGATAACCGACCTCCTGGCAAGGATGTGGGGAGACAGGCGCTCCTGCCAGCAGCACTGCTGTGCGCACGGTCCATCCTCTATGGACCACGATCTGGCAACTGTTCCAAACTAAAATACACATCCTCTTATTTCTAGGAATCCACCCTGTGGACACACAGTCATGGCAAAGGTGAACCCAGGAGAGTCGCCGCCACACTGCTGACATGTCAGAATCCCAGAATAACCCCATGTCCCACCAGTGGGGGACAGGTGAGGTCAACTGTGGAATATAGGGCCACGGAACACCACACAGCTGCAAGTAACACCACAGTCACAGTCGTAGCGACGCCAGCACACACAGTGCTTACTAGGACCAGTTTCAACCAAACAACTCCAGACTCTGTTTTACAGAGAAAGACATGGACGCACAGACGGATTAAGACACTTGTTCCAGGACACACAGCTCGTTTAAGTGGCAGAGCCAGGACTGGAACTAGGTCACCTCGCTTCAGAGTCTGGACTCTGAACCTTGCAGAAAGAATGGGGGATAATTTTCTTGGGAGGAGAGGGGTGTCACTTCTCACATATGGACTGAGTTAATGTGGAGTGACACAGACCTTCTCAAAGACACACACTTAAGTGAAAAATGCCACAGTAGAACTGTAGATGGTGTGGCAGCAAAGAGGTACGTGAGGATGTGTCACTGTCCCCAGAGAGACCTTCTGGGGGAGATGGGGCTCACTGGGCCAGGGATGGTAGGGTCACCTTTTTCCATGTCCCTTTTGTACTGTTTCTTCATTTTTTTTTTTAAGCCAAATCATTACCTGTTTTTAAAAGCCATGATTTCCTGGGTCCCATGTGTGTCTCAGACAAGTGTGTAAGGACTTGGGGAGCCACCCCCACCCCAAAGGCTGAGAGCACAGGGCCCCCGCGGGGGGGGCCTGCAAGGGAGAGGCTGGCTGGCCTTAAGCACTTCCTCTGCACAAGGGAAGCCACAGCACTGCAAGCCCTGGAGGAAGTGGCACTGCCCACAACCAGGTGTGTGGCCCAGCCAGGAAGGAGGGCGGGCAGAGGCGGGGGCAGGGGACAGGGAAGGGTGGGAGAGGAGGAGGGGGAAGGGGGCCGCCCTCTTGGCCCCAGAACACAGCTTCCAGGCACTTCCTGTCGCTGTCACATTGGACCTGGGCCCTCCCCAAGTCACCTCATGTCATGCCACAGCCCCCAAGGCCGCAGCCCCGCTCTGAAGCGGGAGGGAGAGGACAGGGAAGGAGGGAGGAGGCCACCAAAACACAGACAGCCAGGCTGGGAACTTCCCCTCAGCCAGGGGCTGGTCCCGTGGCCTCAGTAAACAGGTTTCAAAACCATTAGTCAGCACTTCGGCCCTCAGATCTGCTGCCTCAGGTTCCTGGTCCCCAAACTGGGTCTCCAGGGTCCCAGACCTGGGCCGAGGCCGGGCCCCCCCCACCGCCAGGCCTGGGGGCCCGGGGTCACTGGGGGAAACAGGCCGCGGTCTTCTGGGCCAGCTAGGCCTGAGATGGCCTCATCAGCCGGGCACCCGCCTCCCTCCTGCCCGGGTGGCTGGCCCCAGCTGCCGGCAAGAAGGAATCTCCCTTAGCCCCGCCCCTCCCCCAGTCTGACACAGGGAGACAGTGGCCAATGCCAGGCCGCTGGGGTAATGTCAACAAACAATCCGCTGGCCCAGACAGGTGGTCCAGGCCGGCAGGGCTGCCCTGAGCCTGCGCTGGGGACAGGACTCACCGTCGCGGCCGCTGGGCCAGACACCCCCGAGGGCCACGCTGTAGCCAGACCTCCCTCGGTGGAGCTGCGCTGGTGCCCCTGGCACTCAGGTGGCGGGGGAAGGTGGGAGCTCTCCCAACACGCCCAGAGGAAACCCAGGCCCAAGAACTGGGCTGAGGGTGGGGTCTCCAAGGTCCCAGCAGGCCTCCGACGCCCATCCACACAGGGGGGTGCCCAGCTCCTTCCCCCAGTACGAGACGCTAGCCTGGAAGAGTCCACTCCTGGCCAGGGTCTCCAGCACTTGGCTGGACTGGGACTTAAGTCAGCGGGGCCTGAGGCTGTACTGGGGCCGGTGGGGACAGGGGCGGAGGGGAGCACAGCCCGTCCCCACCAAGACGGCGCCGGCAGCCTTACCTGGAAGTCATACAACGCCACGATGTTTTCATGTTTCAATTCCTAGGACAGAAAGCCAGGTTTCCTGTGAGCGGAGCGCCCTCGCCCATCACCCGCTCCCCCTGCTGCTGAGGCCAGCTCACCTTGAGGATCTTGATCTCCTTCCCCAGGAGAGTCTGCGACTTGGCCAGGTTCTTCTTGTTAATGCACTTGACAGCGACCTCCAGGTCGTGTTTCTGAAAACCAAGCGCGGGTGTCCCTCAGGGGCGGGGAACCCGGGAACGCCTTGAAGGCCTTGCCCAGGCCAAGCGCCCAGCAGGTCCCTGGAGATGAGGGGGTCAGGAGTGCATGTGAGGGGGACGTGGGGTCCCGGGGCTGTGGGGTGAGACGAGGGGCGCCCGGCTGTGTTCATGTGGGGTCCCCGGCAGGATGAGGGGGCCTCCGGGGTGTGGAGGTGGGGATGGGGGTGGCCGGCGGTGGGGATGACGGGGGGGGGTCCCTGGAGCGGGGGATGGGGAGAGGGACCCCGGGGCGGGGGGGCCGCCCTCGCCGGCGCTCTGTCCGGGCCGGCCGGCCCCTCACCTCGCGGTGGCGCCCCTTGAAGACCACGGCGAAGGCGCCATGCCCAATCAGGTCCTTGCGCGAGAACTCGAACTTGCCCACGGTCTCCAGGCCGCCGCGGCCGGACTCCATGGCGCGGGCCGGGCCAGGCAGGCCGGGGCTCAGGCGACGGCACGGGCCGGGGGCGGTGGGCAGGGGGCGCGCCCCATCGGGTAGCCCGGGCTGCGGACGCGATCCGACTCCAACCCAGTCTTGACCTGGGCTCCGACCCTAGCTCAGGATCCAGCTCGGGCTCCGGCCCGGAGACAAAAGAGCCGCGGCCGCCGGGCCCGGGAGCCTGAGACGCCGGCGCAAGCGCACAGAGTGCCGGGCGGGGCGGAGCCTGGGGGCTAGCCTGGCTGGGGCGGGGCGGGGCCTGCCGGGCGGCCGCGCTCAGTGGGTGGTGGCGCTGGCGGTGGGGCGGAGCCTGTTGGGGCGGGACCAGATGGTTGGGGCGGGGTCAGTAGCAGGCCCGCCTCCTTGGGAATGACAGGGGAGCTGCAAGCCTGGGCATGAGCCAACGGTCGCCCTCCAACCAGTTCTGCTGCAGCCTTACACTACATCCCTTGTCTGCGCATCTGGGGGGCGCACATGTGCCATAGCCGCCATTAATACCTGGGACGTGGCCTGTGTACCCCAGGGCTGGAGATTGGATAGAATAAATTCCTAGAAAGGGAACGACTGCGTTGCAGGTTATGCATTTAAAATTGCGCTCGATAGTTACAAACTGTCCCCCAAACTGCACCAAACCTAAGAAATAGCCCACAAGTCCTAAGGTTAGGTAAATCCTGGTGCATCCTTTCTATGGAATAATACACAGCAGATTCTTAGAGGCAGAGATGCTCAGATAAAAAGTGCTCCAAGGGACTTCCCTGGTGGTGCAGTGGTTGAGAATCCGCCTGCCAATGCAGGGAACACGGATTCAAACCCTGGTCCCGGAAGATCCCATATGCGTCAGAGCAACTAAGCCCATGCACCACAAGTACTGAGCCTGCACTCTAGAGCCCACGAGCCACAACTACTGAAGCCCACGCGCCTAGAGCCCATACTCCGCAACAAGAGAAGCCACCGCAATGAGAAACCTGCGCACCGCAACGAAGAGTAGCCCCCACTCGCCGCAACTAGGGAAAGGCCGCGCACAGCAACGAAGATCCAGTGCAGCCAAAAATAAATAAATAAATAAATTAATTAAAAAATAAAGAAAGTCACTGGAGAGAGATGTGTGTATACCATACCTACATGTGTATATAGTTTTATGTATGTATATACAGATATAGGGTCCCTAATACTATACTATGTATGCATATATAGTACATTGGGTAACTATAACAGCTAACCCATTGCTTACCATGTACCAGGCAGTAGTCTTTCCATATATTAATTTATTCCTCACAATGATCCCATGAAGTACTTGCTATTATATCCCTATTTTACAGATGAGAAAATTGAGGCCCAGAGAAGTTAGGTAAAAAAGTCACACAGCCAGGGCTTCCCTGGTGGCGCAGTGGTTGAGAGTCTGCCTGCCGATGCAGGGGACATGGGTTTGTGCCCCGGTCCGGGAAGATCCCACATGCCGCGGAGTGGCTGGGCCCGTGAGCCATGGCTGCTGGGCCTGCGCGTCCAAAAAGTCACACAGCCAGCAAGAGAAAGAGCCCGGATTCTCTCACAGGAGAAACTGTTAACAGTGGTTGCTTTGGGAAGAGCCGGTCCTTTTCACTTTACACCTTGAGTGTGAATTGCTCCCATAACTTCCCATTATTGCTTTTGCAAATGCAGAATTCTAAACAACCCTCCCTGCCACTCCCAGTCTTCAGTAATAGCCCTGGAAGGTTGCACCAGCCTGTGGGAACACACTTCTGAGGGACAGGCTCCCAGGCACTCCACACCCCGGACTGGGGCCAGAGACCATCAAAGCTGGAAGGGACAATGGGTCTCCTGGGCCACACCTTTGTTTTCCAAAGACAAGGTCTTGCAATGCCATGTGGTCAGTTGTAGCCTGCCCTCAGGTCCTCATCCATCCCCTCACTTCATCCAATGACTGTTTTCTCAACACCCAGAGTTGCCACAGAAGAAAAACATAGAATCCCCTCCTTCAAGACCTTCCTGTCTAGTGGTTGGGGTCGGGGGACAAGACGGGCAATGATTGCACAGACAGTTGTAAATTTTCAACCCAGGAAAGTGCAGAGAACGGGCAGGGCAGACAGTGGGATCCCCCGGAGACATGCCTCCAGGATCCCAGCACACCCTGGGAAGGAGATATTCGCCCTAAACTTGGGAAGTGACAGGGCAGAAGTTAGGAAGGGGGCAGATGAGACGGGATGTGCGTTTGGAAAAGGTTTCTGGGCCCTCGACAGTGGAAGGGAAGGGAGGCGAGGTATGCTCGATTCCCCTGGCCTTGGGCCCAGCTCAGTTGCTCAGGCTGCCACCCTCCTCTGTGTGACACGCCCACCATGGTCTGTGCCAACTCCATCCTTGTGACTCAGATTCCATATCTGCGAATTTGCCTATTCGCTAAGTGTTTCACGTAACCCCCAAATCAGTACTCAAATGCTTCTGTGGGCAAAGTGTTTGTTGCCCCAGGCCCCCTTTCCCAGCTGAGGGTGAGGGAGGCCACTGCCTCGCATCAGCAGCTCTCGTACCGCAAACAAGGGTCCTGTGGGCCATTTAGGGCCACATCTGTCGCGGTCCGAACGCGGGCCGGAAAAGAATTTCCAGACACAGGGCAGAACGTAAAGAAGATAGAATTTATTGGAGGGAAGGGTCGCTGCCAGAACAGCGGGCCAACGTCCTAGCAGTCTGGGAGAGTCGAGCCTGAGCATGTGCTATTGATCAGTTTTTATAGCCAGGAAACAAAGGAATGGTCTGAGGTGAAAATCTCGTTTACTGATTGGTCGAGGCACATACACCTTCCTTCTGTAGGGTGGCAGTGGGACGGGGCAGATGCCTTTGCTTATTTGGGACAGGTCCCTGTTGCTCAGATGAGTGTCGCCCAGGTGGGCTCAGGAATTTTGTAACCATGGCAACAGGGTGGGGCGGGTGAGTAAGAGTCCGGTAGGGGCTGTGACGCTGACACCTTTTCAAGCAGGGCCGTCCTTTGTCCTTGGAGCCCCACAACATTCTTCGGATCTTTGTGCTTTTTGTTGGCGATTTCGCTGTTCAAAAGTAAACAATGGTAATGAATCAACAGCATATATGAAATAAGATGTCTTTTAAACAGAAACACACATAAACACACAGTGATGTATTGAACGGTTGACAAAAATGTTGTGACCAGAGGGTGGCAGGAACCTAAATGTATTTTTCCCAGAGCAGGTTCAGAATCCGCTAATCCTGTGCTGGTGGCAACGTTATAGAGCATGAGTACTGTCGACTGAAAAAAATGCACAACCTAAAAGTTCAGAGTTATGCTTTATTCGATGGACAAACCTAAGGACTTAAGCCTGGGACACAGCATCTCAGAAACTCTGAGAGACTGTCCCAAATGGGCAAGGGGCGGGGAGCCAGGATCTATAGGAGTTTTTGAAACTAAGACCAGGTAGTCGGAACATTGAAAGATTACTGTTAAATAAGGAAAACCAGACATCACAAGTTAAGGAATTTAGCGCTTCGCTATGTATGGGAAGATGCAAAGTCTGGGCTCATTGAAATCATTCCTCTGATATGCAGCTCAGCTATCCGGGGCCAGTACCCTCTGCTTCTCATCCTGAGTCTTCCCAGAATGCACCGTTGGGGCAGCTGTAATGTGATGGCTGGATGGCTGCAACATCCTTTGTTTACCGATATGGCAGCAAACATTCTTCATTCACAGTACCATGAACAGTGAGAATCAACTGCCCTTGCTATGTGCAGGCAACTCTCTTTACAGGAAGTAACTCTTATGCCCACATCAACCCTGGGAGGTAGATTCCTATGGTTACTCCCATTTAATGGGGGAAGAAACTGATGCCCAGAGAAGTGACTTGCCCAAGGTCATACAACTAAGAAGTGATACCTCTCCACTGCAAGCACTTGCACCTTGTCCTCCTGGGTCTCCAAACCTCCCGAGGAAAGGACAAAATCCTGTTCAGCTCTGACCTCTGACCTCTGGTGCTCAGCCCAGTGCCCAGCAATCAGTCAAGAAACCTGTGGAAAGGATGTTGAGTGAAAAAAACCACCCCTGACTTGCTTACTCAACAAGCCAAAACACACCACCTTCCATGGAGGTGCCACCTGCCCACCCAGACAGGCCTCCAGCACTGCTGCTACCTTCTATGAAAGGAATGGTGAATGGGTGTCGTTTCAAAGGGACTGGTGGCAGCTACCTAGAGTCTTAAACTTAAGAGTTCTGAGAATTCTGTGATGGATTAGTAATGTCTGTCACAGGTGCTGGGAGTGGGGGGTGGTTTGTGTGCCTTAAAACAGACAGGGGGCTGCATTCCTGTGTCATTGAGACTTCACCAGTGTAATTTTCAAGAAATTAAAAACTAACTCTCAGGGACTTGCCTGGCAGTCCAGTGGTTAAGACTCTGTGTTTCCAATCTAGGGGGTGTGGGTTCGATCTCTGGTCAGGGAACTTAGATTCCACATGCCATATGGTGTGGCTGAAAAATTAAAAAACAAATAAACTCTCATATGAATATGGAGCAAAAAGTGGGCTAGAGGTTTAGCTAACTCAGTAACAAGGGAACCAGCCAGACAGTAAAGATGGTTCCTGGGTAGAATTTGAGGGACTGTTTATTTATAGGGATTTGAAAAGAAGAATGTTAGAGTAAGATTGGTCAGTCCGATTCAAAACTGGTTATTGTTTCCCAGGGCAAAACATTAACCTTTGATTATCTTTTCTGTCTCAGAGAAATCATCTGTCTTCTGTTTGACAAAAACCTACAAGTTAACATGGAGATAATGTCACAGACTCAGAGCTTTGAATCAATTGTCAACAGAAAGGTAAACACGGGTGAAGAACCCCTGCATCAAGGATCAGCAAACTTATGGTCTAAGGGGGCAAATCCAGCCCTCCTCTTGGTTTTTTCCTTTTTTGTTGTTTTTCGTTTGTTTGTTTTTTTTGGCCATGCCCTGCGTCACGTGGGATCTTAGTTCCCCAAGCAGCAGTTGAACCTGTGCCCCCTGCAGTGGAAGTGCAGAGCCTTAACCACCAAACCACAAGGGAAGTCCCAGTGTTTTCTTTCTTTTTATTTTTTTAATATTTGTAGAATACACATAACTTAAAAATTACCATCTTAACCATTTTTAAGTGTACACCTCAGGGTGTACGATACATTCATATTGCTGTGCAACTATCACCACCATCATCTCCAGAAATTTTCCATTTTCCCAAACTGAAACTCTGCCCCCATTAAACACTAATGCCATCCCCCTGCAAAAACTCTAACACCCTGCTCCCTCTTCCCTCCACCCCGGCACCCACCCTCCCACTTTCTGTCTCTATGGATCTGACAGCTCTAGGTACCTCATAAAAGTGGAATCCTACAGTATTTGTCTTTTAATGTCTGCCTCAGTTCCCTTAGCATATAATGTCCCAAAGTTTCATCCGTGTTGTAGCATGCGTCAGAATTTCCTTCCTTTTTAAGGTTGAATAATATTCCATTGTACGTATACGCCACATTTCGTTTAGCCATTCATCCACTGAAGGACACTTGGGTTGCTTCCACATTTTAGCTATTGTGGATAACGCGGCTACGAACGTGAGTGTACAGGTACCTCTTCCAGATCCTGTCTTCAATTCTTTTGGATATATATCCTGAAGTGGAATTGCTAGTAATTCTATTTTTAATCTTTTGAGGAGCCACCTTACTGTTTTCCACAGAAGCTGCACCATTTGACATTCCCGTCAGCGATCCCAATTTCTCCACATCTTCACCAGCACTTGTTATTTTCTGCTTTACAAAAATAGCCATCCTAGTGGTTGTGGTTTCTCACTGTGGCTTTGGTTTGCATTTCCTTAATGATTAGTGATGCGGAGCATCTTATTTGCTTACTGGTCCATTTGTTTAACTTCTTTGGAGAAATGTCTGCTCAAGTTCTTCGACCAGTTTCTAACTGGATTGTTTGAGTTGCAGGTCTTTATATATTCTAGAGATTAACTGCCTACTTCGGTAAATAAAGTTTATTGCAACCCAGCCACGCCCACTTGCTTATTTAGTGTCTCTGGCTGCTTCCAAGCTGCACCTGGAAAGCTAAGTAGCTGCAAAGGTGGCCGTGCGACTGGCAGAGCCATATGTGCCATGCGGCCCTTTACAGAATGAGTTTGGTGACCCTGGCCTTGAAGTATTAAGTAGTCCTTCAATGATGCTCCAACTGGACCACGGAAGAGCATGCTGAAGTCATTACTTACAAGTTCTGGATCATTCCTCCAAACAGTGGTAGTGGATACCAGCAAAACCTAGGCGTTCCTGTCTCTATCACTCCAGTCCACGATGCCCAGAGGTGAATCCACTCCTCAAATGCCACTGAAACACCACTGGTGTGTGTGTTGGGAGGACACTCCTCCCCAGCCATGGGCTGGACGGCAGAGTGGGTGAGTGTCTGGGTGGGTCCCCTCTAGGCACAGCGGGGAAGCCTGGGTAGCCACCTGGCTTCTCTGTGCCTAGGTCATCTCCCCTGGAATAATAAGGAGGATTAACTAGAACAATGGAGACAGCCAGCTTCCTCAAGGAGAGTTCCCTAGAACACCAGCACCTCCCAGGCCCGTCCCAAGCTAACTCCAGCCATCGAGGAGCACTGCTGAAGGGGGAGCTGGTGGTCTCGTCCCGAAAAGGTCTTTATCCTCCGCTAGGGGACTTTAGGCAAAGCTGCTCCGGGCCTAGGCTCATCTCAAGGACTTCAGACTTTGGGGCAGGATGGGAATTTGCTTCCTGGCTCCCAGAAGGGTGGGATGGTGACAGCCAGGGTTCTAAGGGGGCTCCGGGCTGGTTTCAGTCCCGGGTAACCTCAGGGCGCCACCCACCTTGGCCTTGCAGCCAGCCCCTTCCAGCCTCAAGCCCAGAGGGAAGGTCTGTACCTGTGTCCCCCAGGCAAGGATGGCTGAACATAAACCTACAACCCAGCAATCCCACTCCTGGCTGTTTACTCAGGGTGCCTGATGGGAAATGTTCATTACAGCTTTATTCAGAGTAGCCCAGAGCTGGAAACAAATGTCCATCACAGGGGAAAGCAGAAACAAATGGGGATATCCGCGCTCTGGGGTGGAGAGAATGAGCATCTTGTCCACGCAGCAGCGCGGCGAACCTTGACGCCCTGTACGTAAAGGGAGAGAAGCCAGACCCAGAAGACCTCTGCTGTAGGGATTCATCCTGTGTGGGATTCACCCGTCAGAGACGGATCGCTTGTCGGTTGCCTGGGCTGGGGGGATGGATCGGGAAAGGACAGGCAGGGCTTTGGAGGGGACGAGTGTCCTATGGTGATTGGGGTCTGGTGGATACATGGCTTTATACAGTTGTCAAAACCCTTGAAATGCGAGTATTTAACTGTGTGTGAATTATACCTCAGTAAAGTTAATTTTATTTTTTAATTTTTTAATAGATTTATTTTTTATTTTTGGCTGCATTGGATCTTCATTGCTGCTCATGGGCTTTCTCTAGTTGCGGCGAGCGGGGGTCTATTCTTTGCTGCGGTGCATGGGCTTCTCATTTCGGTGGCTTCTCTTGTTGCAGAGCACAGGCTCTAGGTGTGCGGGTTCAGTAGTTGTGGCACGCGGGCTCAGTAGTTGTGGCTCGCAGGCTCTAGAGTGCAGGCTCAGTAGTTGTGGCTCGCGGGCTCTAGAGCGCAGGCTCAGTAGTTGTGGCTCACAGGCTTAGTTGCTCCGTGGCATGTGGGGTCTTCCCGAACCAGGGCTCGAACCTGTGTCCCCTGCATTGGCAGGCAGGTTCTTAACCACTGCGCCACCAGGAAAGTCCCAAAGTTAATTTAAAAAAGAGACACTGGGAATTCCCTGGCGGTCCAGCCGTTAGGACTCTGCGCTCCCACTGTAGGGGGTACAGGGTTGATCCTTGGTCAGGGAACTAAGATCCCTGAAGCCGCGGGGCACGGCCAAAATAAAATAAAATAAAAAGAAGCACGGACACAGTCTACAGTGTGGCTGAACCTAGGAAGCGTCCTGCGAGTGGAAGAAGCCCGACGCAAAAGGCCACATCTTGTACAAAGACATTTACATGAAGCATCCAGACGGGCGAATCCAGAGACCGAAAGAGGATTGGCGGCTGGCAGGGGCTGAGGGGAGGGGGAGGGGCAGGGACTGCTGAGGGGGAGGGGCTTCCCAGGGTGCCCACGGCATGGGGGGCTGTGCGGGGGGCTGGCGGCTCTGGTCCTAGGAGGCACATCGGGTGCCAATAGCCTCCTCGAAGGCCTGGAGGGAGAAGGAGTGAGTGACTGCTGGGTCCAGGGCGCCGAGCTTTAGCCCGCATTTTCCCAGCCCCAGAGGGCTCCAGCCCTTGAAGTCGGCAGCTCCTGAGTGAGAACCAAGTTGGCTCAGAGCCTGCAGCTGCTGCTTCTTGCAGAAGTCAAAGCAGAGTGCCCCGAGGCCTTTGCATCCTGCCAGGTGGGTGACTCAGCCTGACATGGACCACCGCCACCCTGCTGATGGACGACGGAGAGTTAGGAGCCCTGTCAGGTGTGCAGAAGCCCCTGCCAGGCCTGGAGCAAGGCTCAGGACTTGGGGTTTCCTCTAAGCGCCTGGGCCGCAACTCCAGAATCCCGCGGCGTCCTGCCCTCCCTCTAGTCCCCGTCTCAAGGGGCAGCCAGGTGTGTCTTCCGATGACGTGCATGCTCCCCGCCCCCCCACAACCTGCTGTCCTCCTCTGCCAGTTCCAGGCCTGGCCACGCCCTGGTCTAAGCCACTGCCTGGGGCCTGGGGCCTCCTGGTGGGCGCAGTGCTCGGGGCATTGCTGTCTTCTTCCGTCTTCACCTCCCTCATCCAGCCCCACTCGACCTACCCCAGCTGCAGGGCCTTTGCACTGACCAGCTGGTCAAAAGGCTGGCTCCAGCCAGCCATCTCCTCCAGAGGCTTTCCCTGACTGCCGTTCCATCCAAAGAAGCCGGGCCCCTCTGGCACTCTAACAAAGGGGACTGTGGGCCAAGGAGCACAGTCAGGGGTCTGGGAAGGGGGATGGGAGACACACTTACAACCT